AGGTGCCTGGTATCCACCAACTCTGTCAACAAAAGCTCTACTCTCGGCAACTAAGAAATGTGTACAGACAGCCTCTTGGTGAAAGCCAGGCCAGGCGGGCCAGGGCTCCATCTTCCTCTAGCAGCCCTGACTCAAGCAAGCCTCAGGCCCTGTTCCAGCCTGACAGGGAAACTTGCCTCTGCCCTTGAGGGCCCAGGGAAGGGAGGACAGGGCCAGGGAAGGATAATTCACTTCACTTGGTTCTCCCAGGAGACTGTCATTCTCATGAGGTGGCCCAAGCAAGCAGTATTGGAGGAGAGCAATTCCCCCATCTGCTGAGGGGTCTAGAGCGGTGGGGTGAGGGTCAAACTTTGCACTGACTGGGGACATCTCTGGCATTCTACATAGTCCTACGCAAGGAAGAACTGGGATGCCTGAAAAGCGATGCTGTTTTGCAGAGAGACACCCATAATAAGAAGCGGCCATTGTTTCCCTCCAAGTAAAACAATGCACAATCCATCTTTTCCCCTACCAAAGCCTAGCCCCATTTACAAATGACATTTGAGGGGTCTATAATGCAGAGCTAGGCACAAAACTCGTGCCTTGAATGTGTGAAACTCTGGGTTTGAGCCTTAGCACCTAAAGGAAAAAATGACATCTGACCCAGGGAGGAACTAGAGGGGTCCAGCCCAGTGGGCCCAGATGTGATGTTGACCTGGAGTCTGGCACTGCTGGGTGGGGTCTCCTTACCTGGGCATCTCAGTGCGGCTGGAGTACCCGTCATCGAGAAACATGTCAAGGCCATGCAGACTTGCTAGCAGAGACATGAGACACAGTTAGAGTCCAAGAAACACAGCTAAGGTGCCACCAACATTCCCTGTGAGCTGTCTGGCAGGGTTCTGGTGGGTGTTTCCCAGAAAGATCCAATGATTGTCCCAGTAGGCAGAGAAAAACAATGGAGGCATACTGTTAATGACCAATTAGAGGACAAAATACCTCCATTAGGAATCATCAGGAGGGCTAAGATAGAGGATTCCCCACACAGGGCCCAGGAGCAGGCAGAGCCCAGAGAACTCTCTTGTCAGTCCTTGGGAAGGCTATAAAGGCAATACTGTTATTAATAATTTTACGATACAATATTTGTGGTTCTTAGTATATGCCATGTGCTTGTTCTAAACCAAATCCTCATCATCCCGGCCCAAATCCCGTAGCTAATACGTAGCAGAGCCGATCTGCACCCCAGGTTTGGGTAAGATCCCATGTGCTGGACAAATACACTAAGCTGTTTTGGGTGCAGTGTACATCAGACACTTTTAAGTGTGGCATAGCTTAAAATGCCGGTTGTGAGAATTTGATCCTAAAGAAATAGCCAGCCTCAGGAACAGCTAACACTGAGGAATGTAGTGTTTCAACAGCAGGAAGTTGGAGACTCTCCCACAGGAGTCTATGAGGTGTTCTGAGCTCTGGTTACGTCTGGCAACATCAGCTGTTGGTAAAACAGTCCCACCATGCTGCTTCAAGGCAGCCATATCTCACTGGCTACGGGGGCAAAGGAAATGAAAGCAGCAGACAGTGATACCCCCAGGCTAGTACCACACCAGGCCATAAGCCCATAACTGGATCTATTTTATCTTTTGGTTTTTGGGGGCCACATCTAGCTGTGCTCAAGGATAACTCCTGGTGGTACTCGGGGCACCATATGGGATGCCAGGGATCAAACTTGAAATGTACACTGATGAAGGGATGGGTGTTGGAACACTATGACTGATCAGCTTTGTAACTGTATTTTATGGTGGCTCAAAACAAAACAGAAACCTTGGGTTAGCCATGTATAAAGAAAGTACCCACCTACTGTGCTCTCTAGCCCCTTTCAACCTATTTTACCTGAACACTATGCACTTATCATTAGTTTTACAAAGAATCAAGGGAGAGTTTGTAGGGAGGGCTTGGAGGGAGGTTTTGGAGGTAATGAACAGAGCGTGTCTTAGAGGGGATGTCATGGCAACTCATCCCTCTCTCTGAAAATCTACTCTCCAGAGACTCGCCCTTCTTAGTGCGAGTTTCTCCCTTCAAATGTTTAAACACACTTGACCTCTTTGAAAACACTAGGAACTGGTAGCAAGCAAACAGCCAAGGGGCACCCTCTGGTGAAGGAATTTGGAACATGGCATGCATGAAACCCATTATCAATAGTATTTTGTAAATCACTGGGCCTACCCAAGGTAGAGAGTAAGAAGGAAATTGTGTGCCACAGAAGCAGGGGGTGGGGGTGGGGTGGCAGGAAGGATACTGGGGACAGTGGTGATGGGAAATGTATACTGGTGGAGGGGATGTGTCATTGTATGACTGAAAACCATGAAAACTTTGTAACTATCTCAGTAATTCATTGAATTTTTTTTAAAACACCGGGCTTAAAGTTTGTAAAAAACAAAACCATCATACCTGCAAGAAATTATCTTGCAGGTACCAGTGATCAGAAGTGGATGAAAGATATAAAATGTATGAAAAGTTAATTTACTGAAAGCTATGTGTCACTGTCAGAAGCATTTTGCCTACATTTCATTTTCTCATTGAATCTTTAAGAAATCCTTATTTCTCCCTTGCTTGGATGATCAGGGCATCAGCACATACACAGCTCCTGGACTGAGCTTCCCCCCTTGGGGCTCCTCAGTGGCTGGGCCTGCTATTTTTGATGGGGTGGGGTCTTTGGACACTTCCTCCTGGGTGAGTCTTGGCCCACAGTACCAGCAGCAGCACTGGGGTCTGGATCACAGATTCACGTTTGTTGCCAGTCTGACAAGTGCTACGAGCCACTGAATATCTTTCTTTTTACTCCCAGCTGAAGAAATGGAAGCAGAGGGGCTTACCCGTGATCTGGTGGCAGAGGGGCATGGCCAGGACAATGACAGCATTTAAAGAGAGCAAGTGTCTAAAGGCCAAGGGTATCCCTGGAAGATCTGGGTCTTGCCCCAGGTCCATTTTCCTTCACAGAACATGGCACTCAGACCTGCTTTCCCTCACAGACATGGCACTCAGGCTGCTCCGTAACAGCCTGTCAGCAAGAGGGGACATAAGCCAGGGTCAGCCTCTGTTCCTTGGCTAAATCAGAGCTTCCCAGACTTTCCCTGCCCCTTCCTCAACAACCGTCTGGAAATTTACTTACTTTTACCTACAAACAGTGCCCCAGGAGGGCGGCATGGCCCACTTTGTTTGTCCAACTGTGGAGGGTAGTGCATCCATGTTCAGCAACAGGCAGGGCTGGCAATGTGTTTGCTTAAGTTTAGGGTAAAGAGTGGGTGTGGGTTTGGGTTTGGACTTGGAAAACAGCATGGATCAGAATGTACGTCTCTGGGATACTGAAGGGTACAGGATACACCCCAGGAAGACTCCTGCTTCCTAGATTCAATCTCTGCATGACACTAGGCATTAAAACTGCCAGGTTGTGCCAGAAACAGTAACACCGAGAGGGCGGATGAACTGCCCCAAACTGCTATCCTTTGCTAGCCATGGGGTCAGAAGGGGCAGAGTAGGGGCCTGGCCACCACTCCTTAGAAGTGTTGTGTCCCGACAGTGAGCTCATCGCATTGCTGGAGCTGAAGATGTGTGTAATGTAGCATCAAAGCTGGGCCTGGGAATGCTACTGTGGACTGAACCCCACAGTCCTCCGCCGAATTCTTAACACGAAGCCCCTGGTACTTCAAAATGTGACTAGTTGTAATCAAGGGCTTGACAGAGGTAATTAAATCCAATAGTCCCTGTGGTGGGCCTGAATCCAATCTGACTAGGGCCCGAGAATAAGGGCAAGAAGATGGGAGGGAATACCAGGAGTGGGAACACAGAAAGTAAAGGCCAGGTGTGGACACAGGAAGTCAATACCAATCCAGCAGATGATCTGATCTTGGATTTCCAGCCCCCAGAACTGAGAAAATTATTATTTGATGTTGGAGGCTCACTCCCAATGGTACTCAGGGGCAACTCTCAACTAGCAGCTTTGGGACTGTCCCTGGCAGTGCTGGGGCAGGGGGTGCTAAAGGGCCCTCGAGTTGAACTCCAGCCTTCTGCATGCAAAGACGGTGCTTCAGCCTGTATAGTTCTTCACCACTCCTCACTCTGTCCTGTTTACTACAGCTGCACCAGAAAACTACAGGGGATGCCCTTCCTTCGCATTTAGCCTCCAAGTGTCACGACTCCAAGAGCCAGCAAGTAAATTCAACAAACCAAAAGGGCTGTAATACTTTTAATTGCATGATTATAATTATACAATTTTCACTAGTCATATTTGTATAAAACCAGTTACAATACACAAGATTTTCAATGCAACAACATATCAAACTACCTAGATAGCAAAGTTTCCAGGCCTATATTGAAGCTTTATCTTAAAAATACCTTCAAGAAAATAAACAATCATTCAACCATTTCTCAGCTTTATAAAATGATTAGAAATATACATTTTGATTAAAAAATCAGGACAATGATAGATCAAATACTGATTCATCAGTTACATTTTAAAATGTAATCTGTACATGAGTGTAGGTCAAAGTCTGCAAATTATTAATATAAAATTGCAATGCTGTAACCAGATAAACAAATCTGCTCAGCTGGTTAATTCTACTGGGCAATTAAGGAGGTAATTTCCTATACCATGGAGATGTGTTGTCCAGTTTTTAAAACACATCTTAGAATTTCCACTTTGCCAACGTGGAGAAGACAGATGTGGGAGATGGGTAGCCCCACCAAGGTAGGCTAAGGAGAAAATAATCTCAAAGACTACTTTTATTTGTTTGGGGGCCACACCCTGTGGTGCTCAGAGCTTATTTCCAGCTCTGTGCTCAGGGAATCACTCCTGGTGGTGTTTGGGGAACGATGTGGGGTGCCAGGGATTAAACTAGGTTGACCACATGCAAGGCAAATTCCTTAGCAGCAACACTTTCTTTCTGGCCTGTTTTTTGGGGGAAAAAATATTTTTTTTTGCAGGGGTGAGGAGGGAGTGACACCCAGCAATGCTCAAGAGTTACTCCTGGCTTTGTACTCAGAACCCTGGGGGTGCACGGGGGACCATATGAGATGCTGGGGATTGAACTTAGATCAGCCATGAGCAAGGCAAGTGCCCTACCCATCATATCACTCTGGCCCCTGTGGTCTGTGTTTGAATATTTCTAAAACCCGTTTTTGAGCACTGCTTCCCAAAATGCAACAATTACTTTGAAAAGTGTTTGGAGAGACACTGCCAAGCTACTCAGAACAGACAACAAAAGCAGCACATGTGCTCCCACAGACCCTGGGCATTGATCCTAGCAGAGGCTGGGAGGCCCCGGGTATGACCCCCAGCAGGGCCGGTCCCACGACTCCCAACACCAACACAGACATCCATGAAGCACTAGAGAACCAATTGTATCTGGGCCCAAGACAAGAGGTAGAAGAAACCCGCGGAGAGAAGAAAACAGCAGAGGAAGACGAATGGAGAGTAGAGAGACCCAGGAGCAGATGGGCAGTGTGTGGCACGAGACGCAGCAGCGACCAAGTGCAGCTGCTGGACCTGAGCCTTGCTTGGACCCTAGCTGGGCACCAGATACCTTTTTCCTTCTCTCACTTTGCAGACACCCTTCCTGTGGGCGGTTCCGGGCATGCTGATTCGAGTTCCCGAAAAGCTCCAAGGGCACCTAAAAATACTCATTTCTAAATCTGATTCCAATGGAAACTCTCTGGGTGTACTTTCAAAGCTATTTAAGGCTCATAAGTGGATCGGCTCTCTCCATCCGACATGTCCTGTTTCCCATTCAACAGCAACAAGATCTGGAACCAGGACTCAGAATTTCAAATCGCGCAAGATTCTGGGTATGTTGAAGTTGCACTTGAGGTGTGGAGGGGAAAAGGGGAGTGTCCATCTGATTCACAGCAGGAGGCATCCCTGGAGTCAGGCCCCAGATTCCCCAGATCCAAGCAGCTCTGGAGGCAGTATGCCAATTCTTCTGGGTTACAAGGTTATCAAATCCCATTTCCTAGAAATCCTTTCAACAAGACCAGGAAATACAAGTATCTGACAGCAATTCTATCTGGAAATGAGCAGTCAAAACAGAAAGGCAATTTGTATGAGAAAAAGTTGGGATTAACACTCAAGTCCAAATGTTTCACTTATGTCCAGTGGCCAACAGCCAATGCGCTGCAGGAGTCAGCAGTGTTCTCGATCTCTCTTAGGAAAGAGAAAGGCAGACAGCTACACTCTGATGGGCTTGGTTTTCCCAGCTCTCTGATTCAAGACTCTACCTTGACAGATACATGCAAAGGGAGGGGGGCGGGTGGTGTGCCCTGGGAATTCCATAGTGTATGCCTGGGCTTGGTTTATCTACTGAATATTGCTTCCCAGCGTATGCGGTTGACTGGAACACCATCTCTGCTTCCACCCCAGGGAAGGGCCATCTCCAAGGCAAGTGAGTCTTTCACTCTGAATACAAGCACTGGTTCGGAGGAGGCAAAGTCCTCCCCCCACTACAGTGGCCTTCCCACACTCCCTTCAAACGGGTGACACCAAAATGGAGCCACAGCTTCCCAAGTACACCCACAGAATTTATTCCAACCACTATGCAGTCTTCACAGGTTTTTTTAAAAAAAAAAAAAAGGCAGCTTTGTTCTGTCAACTACCCACAGCCTTATCTGGGGCCAACTGGTAATGTGTAGGTCTTGCCTCTGCTCAATTGCTCTTATCCCCAACTTTCCAAGCTAGGACAGGTGAAAACTGGTTAATGACCAAAAGCATTCTCTAATTAAGGATGTGACCAAGGGGACTGCAAAATGTTCTTTACCTTGGGGACCAAGTTTTTCTTAGCAGCAAATAACGAGAGAGAGAGAGAGAGAGAGAGAGAGAGAGAGAAAGAGAGAGAGAGAGAGAGAGAGAGAGAGAGAGAGAAGGAGGGAGGAGAGGGAGGGGGTAGAGAAAAGAGGAACGGGGAGGGGGGAGGAGGGGGAACGAAAGGAAGGAGGGAGGGGTAGAGAGGGGGAAAAGGAGACGGGGGAGGAAGGGAGGAGAGACAGAGACAGAGACAGAGACAGAGAGAGATTGCTTTATAGCAGACTCTGGCTCTGTGGGGCTGAGGGGAAAAGGCACTCTACAAAAGGAGTTGCTAGCTGTACTCCCTAACCAAAGGCAACCTGTGAGTTTCTTACTTACAAACAACTGAAATTCAGATGCTACTATAACTGTTACTTAAATCAAAGGGCGCGTGAATAGCCTTAGGCTGATCACATCACATGACAACAAATCCACAAATTCATAGGGAAAGACCCCAAATAAAGCTGGAACTGTGTTTTTTCTTTCTAAAAGCAACTGTTATCGGAGAGTGCTGGGTCCAAAGGTAAACGCCATTTTTTATTTTTCTTCAAACTATGCCAAGAGGACACTGTGGCGTTAATCTGTTTGACCAGGCAGTCTCAGTGTTCCCTCTGACTTGTTACTCTACAGCACTGAGGTCAGCCCCCGACCCCCACCCCCGCCTCCCTTTTCTGTCTTCTGAAGTCCCCATGACTAGTCTTTTCCAAGTTTTCGGTTCCAAAGTACAACTTGGTACCATACACGTAGGATTTCCACGGGGTTTTCACAGCCTCTTGTTACTGGAGCACTGTCTGGGGAGACAAGCAATGTGGGGGCCACTGCACAGCATCACAGACGTTAATGGGAAGACCATGAAAGCAAACACTATCAAGTTATAAACGTCTCATTTTTCTAATGCCAGTTTCCTCCTTTAAAACTCTGACACAGGGTGAACAGAAAATAAATAAGTAAAACACCTCCCTAAGGGGGTCCCTCGGAAGGCCAGCAGCTAGAAGACTGGCATCAGCAGAACTCGCTCCCCACTCCCACTGGCACTCAGCCCACAATCTGAGCAGCGCTTCCAGTGAGCACCTGAGGCCAACTGGACACCAGCTTGTTTGTTGAGAGTTTCCATAAAAGGGGAGTTGGGCCGCCTTCAAGTCATTCGTCTGTACCCAAACTCATTCCGTTATTGAAACTCCAATGGGCATTTTCTCCGTTGAATAAACTTCTTAGGTGGAAAGCATCTAAGGCTTTTGCAATTCGGTTTTGTGCTAATAACGTCCCACAGTAGTTTTCAGAATCTTCACTTCTGGTCACAGGTTTGTACTTAACGCAAGACTGTTTTAGTCCTTGAAATGGTGGGACTACAGAAGGGAAAAAAAAGACTTTTACCACAAAGGTTTTCAAATGATCTGTACAGTTTATCAAAGATAAGGAAGGCAACATACTAAAAATATCAACATGCTAAAAAGTATATACTCTTGTACGTTTTCATGACAAATAACTTGGGAAAAACAGTACAATACCAATCATAAAGCAAAGACAAACAGGAAAGAAAGGCAGAGCAGAAAAATGGTTCAGTTCTGCAAAGAAATTCTTTAAACAGTAAAAAAATAACAGTCTTAAAGGGAGGACAAAATAGCAGGGCAGTGAGAGTACCATAGAGCCAGTAAGGGCATTTGTCGCAAAGTATTCCTTTTCCTTCTTTCCCTCTGAGCAATCAGGCTGTGGGAAAAGTAGAAAGATGAAAAGATAGAGAAATGTTACCAGATTATTTCCAAAGGCAGGATTTCAAGTCACAGAAAAAATTCTGGCACCTCAAGCAGATTCCAGGTTGGGAAAAGATGGCCCAACCAACATGCACCTACATGCAACAGCACACAGACTCACACCAACACATACTAACACGTACTAACACCCATACACCAACACCACTAACATGCCAGCAAGCACCAACATACCTCCATGCACCAACATACACCAAACACACACCTCCATGCACCAACACACACTGACACACACTGACATGTACCAACATAACCCTGGGGCACGAAGCCAGCCCCGGCCACACCCTAGCCAGAACCTGTTGCTGTTCCTCAGAAGTCAGTGCTCATTCTCTCTCTCTCTCTCTCTCTCTCTCTCTCTCTCTCTCTCTCTCTCTCCCTCATATTCTCTCACATGCACTTTCTCTCACTCTGTTTTCTCCTTCCCAAATTCATTTCTTCATATACTTTCAACTAAGAGCAACTTTCAGAGAAAAAGGAATTCAAAAAAATCCCAATCTGAAAGGACCCTCCTTGTCTGAAGATGTTCTTGGCGCACTCCCCTTTAACTGTAACAGCCCAACAAGGCACTAGAGAAAGGGCAAGTTCAGTTAGTGAGGAGACAAGCAGGAAAACAGCTGGAATGTCAAAGAAGGTTAATAATCTAAAAGGTAAAAAAGGCAATCCATATTAAAAAGAGGGGGAAAAAAGAATATTTAGACAGAACCTTTCAAGGCTTGGACATCGATGCAATTCTAGAGATAACATGCCACTCTCAAAAGGTCAGAGCCCAGACGGTGTGGACTGACAGCAGGGGCCAATGTTTTGAGACCTTTTCCTCACTGTGGCCATCTTACAAATCTGGTTCCTCCTGTCCCAAGACTTGTGCTGTGGCCCAGATATGTGACCTTGGAATATTGTGGGGTCTGACAGGAGGCCCCCGTTTGAGAAATGCTACTCTAAGTGTCAAGAAACTGTGACAGGAACGATCACTGCAAGCTTAGAATAAGAAAACAAGTCCCTAGAAGTCCTAAATGTGTCTTAAGTCCCCAACTGAAGGCCTTTTGATAAAACTCATGATTTCAGTACTTCTCTTCCCTTATGATAGCAATGCCTATAAGAGATAGCCCAAAGCACTGGACGGCAGGTTAATTTGAAGGTAGAGCAGAAAAGAGCCTGCAATGCACCTTGGAATGAAAATAGGCACTGTTGGGGCTGGAGCAACAGGACCATGGGGAGGGTGCTTGCCGGGCACATGGCCGAACTGAGTTTGACCCCTGGCATCATACAGGGTCTCGTGAGCACCGCCAGGCGTGGCCCCAAAACAACAGAAAAGCACCTGTACACAACAGTTTTCTCTGAAAATGGATTTGTTATTTTCTGAAAGAAAGCAAAGATAATCCTAAAGAAACAGCCTAAGCATCCAGAAGCCAGCATGTACTAAGGTGTGCCAAACTGAATCAAAGGGTATGAAATGAGGCGGGCAGTTAGTCACTCTTCACAGGGCTTAGCCGAACTTCAAAGAGAACACTGAGTCTCTGGCTTCTCTGAGCCCAAGAAAGGGATGAAGTATAATCACAACTTCAGTGCCACACATGCCACCACACACCTGTCCCTACATAGGCTTGTCACAATGATTTCGATTTGGCATGTGCTCAAGGATACACAAGAAAACTATAGCCTGCCACCACAGACACAGTGGTGTCTTCTCAAAACAAGACCATATACAAGACTTGAATATTCAGTCTCAAAATAACTGTGCTCTGAGTGTATTCGTGGGCAAGTTCTCCAGAGTCACAGAGCATCTCAGTTAAATATATATATATATATATAAATAAACAAAAAGCAAACAAACAAAAAACAGTAGCCAGAAGTACTTGTGAGATCTTCTCACAAGAAAAAAATACAGAGATGAAAGGTCCAGTTCCTATGCAGTATCAGTATGGAGGAGGAGAAGAAGGAGGACGAGGAGAAGGATAAAGAGGACTGTGACAATGATGAAGATCATGTTGATGGTAAGGGAAGAACATCAACCTGCAAAGGAAAAGGCCTACCAGGCAGCAGTGGTGGCGAACCAGCAGCCAGTCCTTGAACAGCTTCTGGCAAGACGCAGACTCTTTTGTTTTGCTTTGCTCATTCACACACAAGACTTCTAGATAGTGTCTTTTAAGTGACTCAAGAATCTTAACTCATGATATTTTGTACAAACATGTTCATCTGCTCACTGTGCACCCACCAAAAATGAATCCAATCCAGGAAGAAGAAAGCTGCCGGCTGTGCCATCCCAACCAGTCTGCAGCTAGGGACGGAGCCTACCTCCCGGGCCCTGTCCCCAGGAGCTGTGGTGGCGCCCTGTGAAGGCGTCTCCAAGTGGGAGGACCTCAGAGCTGCAAAGGTCAGTGGGTACACTCATTCTCATGGCTCATCTCCTCTCATCACTTAGGAGACCTGCTGCTTATAACACAGGCCAAGATACTGGAAACTGCTTTGGACCATTTCAATATTCAGCCCAGCTTATGCATCCTGATCCCTGCTCAGTCCTTCTAGGAATGCAAGCTGGGGCAGGGCAGATGCTCAGCGCCATCAGCCAGGCAAAACCAAGATGGAAAAGCTGCTCAATGCCCAGCTCCTTAAGGGAACCTGGTCCGGAGGGGTCTCTGTCCCCAATTCTAGGGACATGAAGTCCAGTAGAGAAAACTGAATTAAATGTGCCAAACACACTCAACTATAAAAGAAAAACTTCTTTTATGCTGAAAATTAGTATGTTCATCCAACATGTCTAATCTTGGCATTATTTATGGCAGTTCTCTACTTGGATTTTGAATAGATTTATTCACCTAAAATGACCAAAGTTAAAATATTCTCATATATTATAAATAATCTGAAAGTAAGAAAAATAATAATGAAGCCCTCAAGGGTCTACGAATCAGAAGAATCACTAATATCACGGCAGTTTTTAAAAAACTCCATATAAATAGAAACGTACCTATAACTATTTAGAAATGTACCTATAATTAGGAATGAGACCTGTTATAAATAACATAACCTGACACTGAAAGAGCCTCTGAACGTTGGAAAGATGAGCAAGGAGAGGCTGCTAAGATCTCAGGTCTGGGACAAACAGAGACATTACTGGCACCCGCTCGAGTAAATCGAAGAACAACGCGATGACAGTGACAGTGACCTATAATTAGAATAGTGTATTGTACATTGATAAAATTAGAGTATGACTTCACAATGTTTAGCTGTTTTCAATTATTGCATAGACCATTGCATTTTCCTTTTTACAAAGAAGCACTGATCTATTTCTGTCACTGTCACTGTCACTGTCCTCCCATTGTTCATCGATTTGCTCGAGCAGGCCCAGTAATGTCTTCATTGTGAAAACTTGTTACTGTGTTTGGCATATCGAATATGTCATGGGTAGCTTGCCAGGCTTTTGCCGTGTGGGCAAGATACTCTTGGTAGCTTGCAGTGCTCTTTGAGAGGGGTGGAGGAATTGAACCTGGGTTGGCTGGGCCGGCCGCGTGAAAGGCAAATACCCTACCTGCTGTGCTATAGCTCCAGCCCAATCTATTTATATGTAAGTAAAAATGGGAAAATTGAATCAAGCAAAGCAGAAAAGCAGAAAAATTGATGACTCTTTAGAAAGCAAAGTACAAAGCAGTTGTATCCTGGAGGTCTGGGTGTGACCCAAACACCACCTGGTCCCCCAAGTACCACTAGGAACAATTCCTGAGCACTGAACCAGGCATAGCCTGAGCACTGCCAGGTGAGGCCCAGAACAAACATAAAACACAAAGGCCCAAAGGACTGCCATGGGCTGTTCTGAGATAAACAGATTGCTGAGAGCCTAAAGTCCCAAAGACAGATGCGTACTGAAGTTCAAAGGACTAAGGAAAGGCTCAAAGGCAAGCACACAGGCCACGTACAGCAGAGTCCTGGACTGGCCCCAGCAGTACAGGGTCCCCCAAGTGAACCTATGGGTTGTGAGCTAAAAGAAAAGAAAAGAAAAAAAAAACACTGGTGAAATTGCAAAGAACATTCTGCAAAGTCTTGTCCCACCTGCGGTCTATTCTGAAATGTGGTGCCGAGTGCACAGAACATCAAACAGAGAGAGGGCAACACAGGTCACAGGCAAAGATCCCCCCAAATGGAACAGTGCAAGAATGGGGGATGGCTTATTTGCCCCCAACCCCAAAGATCTCATTTGGAAGAGGATAAAAATAGCAAGTCTGCCTTCAACTCAGTGTATACCCAAAGACACGGCTAAATGCTGCACTTGGTCAAAGAGTGTGTCTACATTCTGGCTCATGAAGGAAGTGCAAGATGCTGGGTTCAAAGTCTAGAAACAACCCATGGGAGTGGTCTACGGTCAAGGGGACAGTTCCTTTTCCACCAGAAGAGAAGTCCGAGCAAGTCTCCTGCAAAGAGAAAAGACCCTCTCCACTTAAAGCCTGTCCACACAGACTGTCATCAGCAGACTGCATCCATCTGAACTGTTCAGTTTAATTCACCTGCAAATATCAAAGTTATATCTGGCAAAGGTACAGGCAGAACAGGATGCCTGGTACTCTGTCCCCTCTCTCCAACAAATATGCTCGAGCTCGACACAGATCCAAAGATTCCCTCTGTGTTCTGTCAAGAGTCTTGGAAATTCTGAAGTCAGGAACTTAATAGTAGAACATCCTCTTGTTCGCAGTGTTGAAAACATCTCTAAAAATCAAAACACGATAAAATCCTGCAGTAAAATGACCAGATTTTCTTAGATTATGAACAACTCCAACACATTTGATTCATTTCCCAGAGAAGTCCTTATCTTCATTTCAATGTCCAGAAGACTGAACTGGAAACCAGTATTAAACTTCTTAGATGAGGAAGAACTGATTCTCACCTTTTAAAACTGCTTTTTCTTGAAGCAGATCTGGTGGTTCTTTGAGTAATGCCTGTACTGCCAGAAATGTTAGGTTCAGATGGCTTATAGCTCTGAACACTGGACTGAAGGATTACTCTGAAAACAGTTGGAAAAAAAAAGATTATATTCACTGAAACAAATGATGAAATAATGACAGAGGAAAGTGTTGTTGCACATTAGTGCAAATTATTTTACTGAGACCTGGCTAAGATTTTTTTTTTCACATTTGTCAAAAAGCTCAGAAATACATGTCACAACATGATCTTTGGAAGGAAGCATCTTGTTCCCTGAGACAGCCACACAAGATATCATTTCCATGTTTTTGTAAAGCAAAGTACTGGCATTTTAAGCAGCTCCCACAACAAAGAAATCGATTGGTCAAGATTCTCAGAATTCTAGTCATAAACACAAGAAATCACAGTCCTCCAATTCTAAACAATATAAATAGCTAAAAGATAATGACTTCTCAGAGCGAAAAATGTATATAATACATACCAAATCAATACTGATTTCACATAACACTTCAATATTTTTGTTATTTTGTTATTGTTGGGCCATATCCAGCAGTGCTCCGAGCTTACTTCTGCCTCTGCACTCAGGGGTCACTTCTGTGAATACAGGGGTCCATTTGGGACACCGGGAATCAAACCCAGATCACCTGTGTGCAAGACAAGTGCCCCCCCCACTGTACTATCACCACGGCTCTAACACTTGAAAATTTTAAAATATGTTCAAGCAAACTTGAACTTTGCTATGATTGTAACTACTCACTAAACTCTTCTAATACCACTAACATATAAGTGAACCTGTTAAAATTCTGAGACTTGCTTTCATTCAATTTAAATCTCCAGGATCTGATGCTTATGGTAATAGGGTGCCATATGGTAAATTCATGAAACAGAATGCTTTCAGATAAAGTCCATGTGGAATGTCTTGTTTATAAACAGTGGGTATTGTTACTTATTCATTGAATCATCCCAAGAACAACAGAAAACATCCAAAGATCTTCAACTGTTCAAGAAATAATGTCTGAACTGCTAAGCTGTACACAACATACCTATTGTACCATACCCGAAATAAATGTGAGACTTAAGGAGGATCCAGCTCTTAGGAGAAAAATGGCCTTAGAACTCTCACAGTTCTATTTCCTCTGCCTCTGTTGCCATCACTCAAGTTAAATTTTAAAGGTTAATTTTTAAAAGCCAGGCTATCAGCATATATTAAGAAATCCTTATCAAATTACAACATAACCAAAGTTGCACCATAAAATCCTACAAAACTGGCCTGAGTCAGATGAACACCAAGAGCTCCAGAAGGTCAATGGTTTTCAAGAAGGAGAGAGACTGGCAGGACAAATGCACATACCGAGCCCTTGCTTTTGTTCATTTTCTGAACAAAAATCCATCTCCTGTTTCTGGAAGACTTGGGAAACCATCTCCAGGCTCAGAAGGCATATGGCCCTCCACAAACAAGCCCTGCTCATGTCAGCGTGTCTCACAAAACCCCACCATCACAGAGGTGAAATACAGACAGAGATGTCGGTGAAGACACACTATGATGAAGCACCCTCTGCCCGGAAAACAGTTTAGTTTAATGTTCTGGCGGACAATATCAAGGAGGCACAATAGCCAGTAATCTCTCTTGAAAGCTGTATCTAGAACTTTTCATAAATAAGAACAAAAATAAGCCCTAGATGCTTCTACAGCAGTTTCCCAACCATCGGTTCAGAGAGACTTAGGGAGGAGTAGCTGAGGCCAGGAGGTTCCTGGTTCTTATCTCCAGTCACAATGAAGAAACTGAGGCACCTGCTCTTGGCTTGGGGAAGGGAGAGGTATGAGTGGGAGTGTAACATCTATTTTTCAAATAACCTGAGGACATTTATAGCCATCATGCAAACAACTACCATATTATAAAACCATCGATGAGAGAAAAAAACAAATGCCAATATATTTTCCTACTTAAAATTTAGGTCCTGGTTTTTCAATGCACCTGATTTTAAAACAGTTAATTACCAAACTGAGAGATACTATTGCAATTCAACATTTAGGCTAAAAAAATCTTTAACTTCTCAATAAAATAATAGAATATAAATTTGCATGGAAATCTGAAAGTTTATATAAAATTTCTAATGCATGATTCAAGCAGTAAGTTTCAACCCATCTAACATTTGCAGTAACAGGAGTTATTACAGCTACTGGATATGCATCTGTAAAGGAGAACCCACAATTGTATTGCCTCTGACATCCTATACTGAAAGAAATTTTGGGAGCAGCTGATAAGCACTCGTGAAATATTCACTCTACCAGTGGGAAATGTGAAAGACTACTTCTGCTTTCCAAATCCAGCCAGCATGCAGCTCTACAGAGCACTATTATCTTACCTTCTCTTTCCTGTCCACCTTCCCTGACAGAATCCTCAGTTCTTCTTTTAATTCCTTGCCCAAGTACAACTCACAATCTTTTCCACAGGATTTTTTGAATACTGGTAACCTTGGACTTTTAAAAATTATAGTATGGATTACCTGAGGAATACAGCCACGCACACTAAGATGTCAGGTCTCTTACAAAATGCTTTGACCTGTGGTATATAAGCAGTACTGACACTTGGGAGAAACAAGAGAGAGATGAGAGATGGAGCGTGGGGGGAGGGAGCAGGAGCTGGGAAACCTGTGTCCTTACAGAGGTATTGTCTCCACTGACGCAGCACTGAGGGGACATAGCACTTGTGCTCTCTATGCATATTAAGTGATGCAGAGCTACTGGCCAGCATAGGTGAAGGCAATAATGCTGACCCAGATAAGGCCTCACAAGGTCACTGTAGGAACTATTACTGTATAGACAATACACGGGTCTTGGCACTTGTCCTGCATGTGGCTGAACCAGATCAATGCCCAGCATGTCAGACAGGACCCAGAGTTAATCCTGAGGACCAGTGGTTCATGATGCTCCCCCGCAACAAAAAAGAGTAACAGGAAAAAGAATCTCTCCTATATTTCTGTACTGTCGTTGAAAGCTTTTGTTTTATAAATTCTAAATTCATCAGTCAGGTTAAAATAAGTAACTCTGGCTCCAGAAACACAGTGTGAAATGTCAATGTTAACATAAAAATATTATACTTTTTTTTTAACTTCTTGGGTCACACCCAGCGATGCTCAGGGGTTACTCCTGGCTCTGCACTCAGGAATTCCTCCTGGCAGTGCTTGGGGGGGCCATATGGGATGCCGGGGATTGAATCTGGGTCAGCTGCATGCAAGGCAAACACCCTATCTGCTATACTATCGCTCTAGCCCCCCAAATATTATACTTTTAAGGAATATCAAAAACAGCCTGATTTTTAAACTTGCTCTGGAAAAACAGTATTATCAAGAATTAAGTAGTATTGAACCCAACCAGTTTAAAATCTTTTTGTCATTTGGAAAGATGAGAATAAATCTGTGACGTTCAGAACTCAATGTATAGAAATCTAAGCTTACTAAGAAAAGTAAAGGACAATTAAAGGATAATCTCGATCAGAAACATAACATCTGCTTATGCGAGGTTTGAATTAACAAGATATTCAAGAAAAGAAGGAATAAATGGGAACATGTCAACATGCTTCCCTTGATTTAGAAAAAGAATGGCATCGCTAAATTTCCAAGTCTTTCCAGGCCATCTAAAGACACCAAGACCACAAAGTACCAGAGATGTTTGCAGCAAAAATTTTACTTTGGCAGAGATCCTAGAAGACACTTTTTTTTATCCCCTAGTAACTTCCAAGTCTAAGATGCAAGTTGAAAGAGAAGCACTGACATAGGAGCCAAAGGATTTCAGAGGATATATTGAAGCCAGGACAAAACGAGCAGCCCAGACAGTGACCATATACACTGGGCTCAGCAAGAGGTTTCCCTGGTGAGCACCTGACCACATTCTTCTGCCAAAAAATCTCTTTGCTCTTCATGTGTTTAAATAAAAAGTATAAAGAGAATACAAAGTCTGTCTGTAATGACCTAATCCAGGCAGGCTTGTTCCTTCTGGGAAATGGGGGAATGTCAGAGAATAAGGCCAGGAGGGGCTATTGTGGAAGAAAATGAATACCAGAAAGTTCTCTCTGGCTCTTTCTGATAGTCCTGAAAGGTTGCACTAATAATGGCATTCCCTACAAGGAAGGAAGGAAAGTAAGGGATGAGAAAAGTCTGTGTAATCAAGACAGAAGACTTAGGAAGGAAGCAATAAAAAAATCAAGAGAACAGGACGCAATGCTTACTAAGACCTCATGGCTACAAAATCAGTAGGAAAATAGAAGATTTATAAGCAAGCTGGAAAGAATACACTCAATATTTCTCTAGGAAATTAGGGACAATGTGTTAGTCAATTATTGAAAGAAAAACAACCCAATTAGCCCAAACTAAAATCTTCTGGATAAAGAAAGGAAATAATTTCAATGTCTTCACAAATTGCTATGTTAAAATCATATAAGATCAACTACAACTTAACACAAAACGCATGAAAGGAGCAAATAAAATGGCCCTTCCCATCACCAACCCACATTAGTTCAAAAGATTCGATAACAAGAACTTTCGATAAAAACAACTTCGGAAAGGAGGCAAACCAGCCAAGCTAAAAAGATTGAGAGTGAGAAAAACATACGTTATGAGAAATATGCAGGACACCGGAGGGGAACATGGGTAGAGAAATGGAGTGGAGCACTTACACAGCAGCTATCTGGCCAGGGTCCTGAGGGCTACTGTGTTCTGAAACCATCGAAACAGAATAGCAGGATGGGGAGAATGTAGTCACAGACAATCCACCAGATGACAACACTACCCACGGCAGAGGCCAGCACAGCTAGGGAACATCTAGAAATGGGTGAAAGAACAGATGTTCAAATTGGGAAGCCAAAACAAATAAAACAGCAAGTAAAGCCCCATATGAATTTTAGATATCCAGTATTGCAAAGTGATGGGAAATAAGGAATGGAGTATCGCCAGTGTGGCACAACTAAAATAATAATAATAATAATAATAATAATAATAATAACAATAATAACTCTCTTTAACTTAAGCAAATTTGACATTCAGTGGTAAGAGATCAAATCTCTAGTTTGAAAAATACTCCGACCTGTATGATCATTTGATACAGCAATCAGAGTCTAATCTTGCAGCTGAGATTTCTCCAGAGAATCTCAGTTGAATGACCGAAAGAGCGAGAGAGAGTGAGCAAAGCAAACCAGAGTCCTGACCAGACAGTGGGCAGCTTTCCCCTGGAGGCAGCCTTGCTCTCTTGCCCAGGGCCATGCTTGGCCATATGCCTCGTCTGCTGTCAAGACGTGTGTACAAACTGCATGCTGACATGCAGGAACACAACATGCGGGCAACAGGACTGAGATGATCAAACTATCTCTGCTTTTTTATTTTTTTTTTTGTACTCCTTTTCCCTTATGCAACTCAGCAACTCAGCTTTCAGTGTTTTTCTACCCTCTGGTCTGACTTGCAGCAGTGAGGAGAAGCCACTCACAGTGGGGTAGAAGCAACTCCCTCCAGTGACCAGGCCTACCTGTGGCCATGTGGGAATGTCTGTGACTGCACAGAAAGGCCCTAGGAACTTCTGCTGATGGAGTCGGAAATGACTGATGTGCTACACCACCCTTACTCTCCCTCTCATCACATTCGAAGAGCATTATGGGCCAGATACAATAGGCTGAACCTAAAATTGAGTCTAACCTCACTCACCCCACAAGTTACCCTGCACTACCTCATTCGATCCTCCCACCAAAAAAGCCAACTTATTTTGATTAGCAGAAGCCTGATATTTATTATCAGCCAAAATGGCTAGAAACCCTACAGAACTTTTTTCCCAATCCCAAATTTCATTTGCAGGTACTGACTTAACAGTTATTTTTGTTTTCTTTTTGTTTTGGGGCACACCCAGCAGTGCTTAGGGCTTACTCCTAGCGCTGCACTCAGAAGACGTTCCTGGTGAGGCTCAGGGACCGTATGTGGTGCTGGGGATGGAACCCAGTCAGCCGTCTGGGAGGCAAGCACCCTACTTGCTGAGCCAGCTCTTAGCCCCGCAGCCATTATTTAATGGCTTGGATGTCTGATTGCCCGCATTACACAGATTTGTTTAAGTTCTTCTAGTGAAAGCTCATGGCAAAAAATTGTTTTCTATATTGGAGTACAAACCTGTAAACACTATTCTCCAGAGAGTTTAAGAAATCCAAGCTGGGGCCAGAAAGAGCTCAGGAGGCCAAGCACAAGCTCCACATGCTGGAGGCTGGTTTCTATCTCTGGCATCTCACAGTTTTGCAACCCCTAAGCACTAAGCCAGGAATAGCCCCACTCCACCACCACCAAAAAGAAAGCAGTCAGAGGTCATCATGTCTAGATTCTTACCTTGTTCCCATATAGAATGCATCTATACTCCTTATGTAACATCTTGATTAACCCCTTCAACTCAAGCAAAAACAACCAGAAGACTGATGCTACTACACCCACCAAAATCATTTGAGCAGAAATCATTTGCCACTCTGTCCTGAAGATTGCGGTTGGGGTGCTGTATGCTTTGTTGTCTCTAAGGGAGTCTCCATCAGGCAGACTCTCCGAGAAAGTGACTTTCACAATTTCTGGACATTAAGTCTCCCAAACACTAACAGTTTGTGAAATGAAAATCAACAGAAATATTGGATAAGGAATCAGGAAGCAATATGACTTGTTCACAATGACAAGTCTGGACCCCAAATGTGGACACAATAATTTGCCCACAATAAATGAATCCACAGGGATGGTCCCTGAACTGTAGGTGGAGGTTGGGGGTTGGTGGGGGGCAGGGGGCTGGTGGAAGGGGAGGGGGTTCAGGGTTCCCCACCCATCCATTGCCAAACTCTTTGGGACTCTTCTAGAAACAAGGACTATGGAGGGGAAGAACATCCCCATCTCTCCTCTTTGTAACCACAAACAAAGTGAAAACAGGGATCATTACACCTATCAAGATGGATTGAAGAGCCCAAACAAACCAAAAAAAAAAAAAAAAAAAAAAACCTGCTTACTTAAAGGAAAACGAAGAACAATCCGGTGACTTATTTAAATGCACCTGCCCCTCACTTCTGTGGCCCCCTTCCCCAACAGGTTTGGTCTTCATATTACAAACTTTGAAAAATTTAGCATTCTGTACTTCCCTTTAAAAGCGTGGCCTACTTTGGTGGTGGTATTACTGCTATCACAAACAGGTTACCTTAACTATAATAATGAAAACTTTTTAAAAAGTTTTTAAAAATGATTGGGGGTTGGGGGGAGTGGAGTGATAGCACGGCGGGTAGGGGGTTTGCCTTGCATGTGGCCAACCCAGGATCGATTCCCAGCATCCCATATGGTCCCCCGAGCACTGCTAGGCGTAATTCCTGAGTGCAGAGCCAGGAGTAACCCCTGTGCATCGCCAGATGTGGCCCAAAAAGAAAAAATAAAGTGATTTGGGAGGAGGGCAGTTTGGGAACTATTCCACTATTTTTACAATTATAGGGAATCTGAACTACCCTCATTTTAAAAACAAACAAAACACTTTAACCATTTCCCTTGATTTAGCTGAGTGCTTCAGTGCAAAGAGCCAGTATCCTTTATCCTTTATTCCTCAGCAGGTAAGCAGAAGTGTGCAGAACTGGACAACCAGACAGATGACGGCAGAGAGGCACTTCTTCCCTCCCTGTCTTTGTTGTTTAGATAGATTCAGCCATCATTCTCCAACCTTCATTCTATGAAGCCATCACTTATCAAGGTGAATACATTATAGTACTGAAACTAGACTGTTCCATACAATAGTACGTAGTGTCATCTTCTGGCTTCCAACAAATTTACACTTAGGGTGGTGGGTGATATGATCAGCACTTGGGGGAGACCCAACCCAGGCCTCCAAGATGAGTGTGCTCCATCACTGAGGACATTTTATATTACCACAAATCTATTAACTCTGAAAGAACTTTTTGCTGTCCCAACCTTTTTTGGAAAAGACCACCAGTATTTGAAATTTTCTAGATAAATATTCAAAGGAAGTTTTAAAAAAATGAAGAAAACTTCTGGTAACAATAACTTTTGACTATGCAGAATTCACCAACTCTGTGACTACTAAACAGAAGTTAAAAAAAAATCAAAACCAGGGCTAAATTAAAAACTAAATTCATCTTCTATGCCTTTCCAATTCAGATGGCGGCGGTACCCGACAGCCGTGCTGGTAGTTCCGGAAACCCATGAGTATGCAGAACTCTAGGTACCCATCAAACCCGCTGCCTTGGGGCCAGGCTCCACACAGGCTTTAAGGCCCTGTGTTAGAGAAGGGCCCACCTGTCTCCACCATCTGAATGGTGGAATGCAAAATAGGAAGATGACTGAAGGGACTATAATATGCTTCTAATTAAAAAGTGCTATAACATCTCAGGTGAAGCAAACAAAAAACAGTACTTTTAAAAAGTCAATAAATACAAATAATCAATATTCACATCATTCACATGGCACTAATTATTGGAAAGTGTTGCTTGTTTCTTTGGGTCTTTAGGAACTTTCCAGAATGTAGCACTGTAGCACTGTCCTCCCGTTGTTCATCGATTTGCTCGAGTGGGCACCAGTAACATCTCACAATAAACTGTGAGACTTGTTGTTACTGCTTTTGGCATATCGAATACATCACGGGTAGCTTGCCAGGCTTTGCTGTGTGGGTGGGATATTCTCGGTAGCTTGCCGGTTCTCCAAGAGGGGCAGAAGAATCAAACCCAGGTTGGCTGCGTGCAAGGCAAACACCCTACCCGCTGTGCTATTGCTCCAGCCCTTCCAGGATGTAACCCGTGACAATATATGCCCGGGGTGTAGTTCTTCTTGAGAACTGCAGTAATGAAAAGTTACCAAGAAAATCTCTTGTTCTATGACTGTGCTCTGACTGGCAGTTATTCACTTCATTGGTTCCTTAATGGATATCCTTATTAGGGGCATTTGAGAGTAACCTTATTGGATGGAACAATCTAGTTTCAGTAACATGAAAGAATGAAAATTCGTTGCCTTACAATGAAAATGGATGTAATTATAAAAAAGGAATCCAGTGTTACGAGTAGAATCATTTATTAAACTATAAGGGGGAGATTTACAATGGCCAAGTTTTTCTATTCTATATATTTTTCTTCTTTTTTAATGTTTGAAACAATTTTATTTTTATAATTATACCTATTGCCTAGGTAATTGAGTAATTCTCCAATTATTTCAATTTGTTGTCAGGTTTCATCTCCTATATTCACTGATCACATTAGCTATTTATTTTTCTAATAACCCTGATATTAAAAGTCTTTTAATCCAAACTGACACAAAAATAAGTACAAATAGAAACAGAAATACACATACTAACTACAAAATGGCACATATTAGATTGTATATGTTTATATATATTATACATGTAATATAATAAAAAAATTTACTTAAAACTTTTATGTATTTTTAAAACATACTAGTACAAAAATATGGCCTAATTTATTTCATCATTGCCTCAAAATACAATGCACTGCTATAAGGTTACCACCATACAGACTTTCTGTAATACAGGGCTGAATCTGAAAAGATTCATGATTTTAATAACTACAGTTGGATAGTCCTCTGTTGTTCACATCTTACTCTCTTGAGATGTCACAATGGTGATTATCCACGGGGACAAAGCAGCTCTAAGATTGTTTTCTGATCTATACAGACCAGTGAAGTTGCAAGCGAAGAAGAAGTTTCTTAGGCAAAAGTCTTAGATTTTATTTATTTTTTGGTTTTAAGGTCACACCTGGCAGTACTTAAGGCTTCCTGTGGCTCTGTGCTGAGGGATCACTCCCTGCAGGCTCAGGGACCAGACAGGGTGCTGGAGATCAAAGACTGAGACAATATGCAGGGAAGCACCCTACCCACTGCTCTACATTTTAAATAATGTGATAAAGCATTTAAAGGTGGCATAATAGGCATGCAAACTAGTAAAAATGTAGGGGAAAGATGCTCACTAAGGGACTCCTACACAAATCAGAGAGCACCAACCACTCAGAGGAAAGTACTCACGTGAGGGGAATAGCATTTGCTTTGGACTGTCTTCTGCTCTTCAGGGCCCGAAGTCTATCACCTTGTGTGACTCCATTGATTTCATCCTCATCACTGTACTGGGTAAGGAAAGAGACAGTGAATGATTGAAGTCACGCTTATTATTTTAGTACTGCACAAAAACGGGTATTTGTCTACAGATATACATTCAGCAACACAAATGCTTCAACTTCCAGCTAAACATTCTGCTATTTTCAAATAAGGCTAAGGGTCATTTTTCAAGACAACTACAAGCTGACATTCAGAGAACCCAAAGCACTCTCTTATACAGCATTTACAGTAAATAGGTACAATGGGTTTTCAATATTACAAACACGCTACACTCTTTTGTTTAAATTTCAGACTCTCTCCCACTACATAATACAAAGAACACTGCTACCTTTTCATTTCTTCCCTTTTCATTTCTCCATTGGAGAAGAACTGATTCCCTAAGTGGGTTGTCACAAAATGGGAAAAAGCTGGGCACAAAATGGGAAAAAGCTGGGGGGGGGGGGGGGGGGCGGAGAAAAAGTAAGTAGATCCTTAGAAAGAACCTCCTATATCTACCTCTATTATCAACCAGCACCAAACTGAGTCAAGAAACAACTTTAGTATTATGGACAGAAACCAATGTACTGGTTTTAACAAAGTACTAAGAGGGTTAAAAAAAAATTATTTTTTAAGTGACAATAATCCCTCCAACTGTACTTTATTATTTTTACCTATAAACTTTTTCAATGCTCTAAAAAGTTCTCAAAGGCATTTTAAACAATGAAAACTGCATGACAGAGATAGTGTGATTACCAGTTCAGGTTCTGGCTTGTTTTGGTTCTCCACCCCGGTGATGGAAATGTCATCGACAGCCAGGAGGAGCTTCGAGAAGGCGGCGCTGTGCTTGCCATCCTCCTGACCACTTAACTTCTGACGGAAATAATCCCCTTCCAACCAGAGGCTTGACTGTTTCCTAGAGCATTCAAATAACAACATGAACATAGAGTTTTCCAGAAAGATCCACGCAAACAGCTTTCGGCTCTTGGAGGATCTATTGTTACTGGACAGTAAGAAAAGAGTCCAGGAGTTGGAGCGATAGCACAGCAGGTAGGGCGTTTGCCTTGCACTCGGCTGACCCAGGTTCGATTCCCAGCATCCCATATGGTCCCTTGAGAACCACCAGGAGTAATTCCTGAGTGCAGAGCCAGGAGTGATCCCTGTGCAACGCCAAGTGTGACGCAAAGAGCAAAAAAGAAAAGAAAAGAAAAGAAAAGAAAAGAAAAGAAAAGAAAAGAATCCGTTTCCCATTCTTTTTGAGCCCCGTGTGTTTCCTGAGTGATTACAACGTTCTCTGTGCACGTACATCAGCAGAAACTGCTGCTGAGGCCCAATGACGGAGCCAGGCCTGCAGATCCTCACCCAGGCGATGCTCTCGGCTGCTGTCATCCGATAATGCTTCATCAGGTAGCAGGCAATCATTGTGCCTGTGCGCCCAAGGCCAGCTAGGGAAGGAAGAAACACACCAAACCCATCAGACAAGCGGCACTAGGTCCTCAAAGATCCTGGGCAGAGAGAACTGTTGTTGTTTTGGGTCACACCTGCCAATGCTTAGGGTTACTCCTGGCTCTGCACTCAGGAATTACTCCCGACGGTGTTCAGTGCACCATATGGGATGCCAAGGATCGAACCCTGACCAGCCTAATGCAATTGGTAAATGCCCTTCCAGCTGTATGATCACTCCAGCCACCAGGTGTAATTTCTTTTAAAGGCTTCCCATAATTCCACTTCCCTGAACACGAGTCTCAAGTTCTAAAGGCCACTGTAGCCCTATGGAGACTCTTTACACACACTGGGCCTCACTTCCTCTTGGCTGAAACAGCAAATGGCCTTCAAACCAGACCCACCCTCCAGGCCACACTGCAGGTTGTGTGCTCACCTGAGTCAACACTTTCAAATAAACCTATAAGCATATCCTATTGATTCTACTTCTCTGGAAAACCGCAATTTACAAAGATTTTGGCCCCATAAATTGGCATGTAACTATAACTGTATGTAAAAATGTGTACACAGCTTTGGAACTAGAACTATTAAAGGATATGAGTTCTAAAGCATATGTCAATAAGAACTTAAAAGACAATGCTTTTTGATTTGTTTTGGCCACACCCAGTGGTGCTCAGGGTTTACTCCTGACTGCACTCCAGGATCACTCCTGAGGGGACTTGAGGGACCATACTGGGATACCAGGGATTGAACTCGGGTTGACCATGTGGCTTATCTACTGTACTATTGCTTCAGCCCCTTAGCCAGGACCTGTTGCCTGTTGGTGGGAATGTAGGTAGAGATTAAGGGGGATTCTGGTAGAAGCTTAGACAGGAATGAGGAATCTTATTTGAAATTAAAAGTTAAGTCACCTTTGTTAGGAAGTGGCAAAAGGAAAAAATAAGTTGAATTCTGTTCCAGTCCTTTGTGGAAAGTAGAACTTTCACAAAGAACAAAATATCTAGAGTGACTGACGGCCTTGGATATTTAGCAAAGGGTATTTGTAAATAAAGTGTTGAATATGCAAGCCTGGTTTCTCTTTTCCGATTAGAGGGACTGCAAGAGAGATAAAGAAGCAATCATCAGGCAAAGAGGAGCTAGAAACAGTACCAGGCCCACCCACATTGCAAAGTGAGAGTTCTCTAGAGAGAACAGTAGGGTGTGGTGAGACAATCAATTCCATGGATGGTGTGGTAAAGAGATCATGCATGAATCTAATCAGCAAAAGCCAGAGATAGTGATGGGATTATACCAGCAGACCAGAGTGGTTGGGTCTGAAGATGACAGTGGAAGAGATTCCTGAAGGAGTTAGATCTCTGAGTTCTATGATGGGAACTTTTGGCTGCAAATAAGCCTCATCTTGAAAGGTGATGGGGAAATAGCCACGCTGCCTGTCCTGCAGGAAACACCAGAGGGGCAAGAGTCAGTCTCGCAGGGCAGATGTAACTCCCTGACTACAGTGGCTGGGCTGCCAAAATGATGGGCAGATAGAAGGGAGAGTGGTATTAGAGCATTACTGTGAGCCTCCAGATCGAATGAAAGACTGACTTGTATGGACTTGCCTCCTCTTGCTCTTTTCTGATTAACTGACTTAGACAAGAGAGTGACTACACTCTCCCAAATCCACTCCTTGATTCCAGAAACCCCAAACTCGTCTAGCTTCACAGGTTCATATCAAGAAAAGAATTCTTGCTTTTGCATGTGTGTTCCTGAACTATCAGCCATATCGGATTCAAACAGTATTTGGGTGGAACTGAAATGTGTTTGAGGGTGGCTGGAGTGGACTCAGTGTATTGTATATACAAGAACCATAAGTATCAGGCAGATAGAGAATAGAATAAAGTTATGGCCACCAATACCCCACTCCCAATTGATAAACTAAAGGTTTTTGTTTACCTTAGGGTTTTCGGTTTTTGGTTTTTTTTTTTTTTTTGAGCCACATCTGGTTGTTCTCAGGGATCGGTCCTGGTAGGGTTCAGGGGACCAAATGTGGTGCTGGGGCTAGAACCCGGGTCAGCCACATACATGACATAATCCTTACTTGCTGCACTCTCTCTCCAGCCCCTATAGATTGAAGTCTTAACTGTTAAGGTCCAAGGGGAGCAGTTTATATAGGTAATCATGCTCCTAATACAGCAGGGCCAGGAGGGAGTATTATAAAGGACAAGAGAAAGAAGCCACCTGCAAGCCAGGAAAAGCGACCCTGCTCCATCAGATTTTAAACTTCTAGATTTTTAAGTCTTCCAAACCATGTGAAAGAGACTTCCATAGTTTAAATCACAACAAATTCTGTTTTGATACCTTGAGCAAATTATTATATCTCCTAATGATTGTCACTTTTCACTTAAAAATCCAACCCCTCACGTATCAGCTTTCTTCCCAAAACAAAGATCTAATCATATCTATCTGAAGTTTGTTGGTCTTTTTTGTATATTTGTTTTGGTTTGGTATGGGTTTTGTTTTGATTTAGTGCTATGCCCAGCTCTGTGCTCAAGGAGACTACCTCCACTGATGTTCCACGGAACTCCACATACAAACCAAGTGCCCAAACCCCTGCCCACTCTTCTGGGCTTTAAATGATCATCGGTCAACCAAAGGGCTGAATAATTCTTTGTTGTGAGGACTACTGTGTACATTTAAAAATGTTTAGAGACATCCCTGACCTCTACCAACTAGACACCAACAACAGTGCCCCTGAATTTGTGGTATCCAGTAGATGTCTACAGGTATTGCTGAGTATCTAGGACAGCAAAATCACTCTGATGAAGCACCTTAACTAAGGCTCATTTATTATGAACTTTAAAAACATAAAATACTAATGATGGATTTTGTTGTAACATAAATATGCACAAATTGAGCATGTTTATAAAATTTGTTCATATATTAGTCCCCTAAATTCATCTGCTTATTGACATTTTCCTTGTTGTTTTTGTTTTGGATTGCACCTCAGGATGCTCAGGAAACCTTCTGGTCAAGGTGAGGGTTTGAGCCTAAGGCTCCTACATGCAAGTGTCCACTGCACTAGCCCTGGGTCCTCACTGATGTCACCGTCAGGAGTGTCTCTCTTCAGAGGTGCCCAGGCCTCTGGGGATAGTTAGCCCAGATGCAGTTCACTGTGAAGGCCCAGGATAAAGTGCTACTCAGGGTGCTGCACTGCTGGGGAGTACCAGGCACCCTAGCTCTCTGGGGGCCTCCAGAGTTATCCCAGACGGTGTTCAGAGAGCGTCCAAGGCTGCACCCACAGTGCTGAGAGGCCAAGGTGGTACAAGGATGGAGCCAGGGTGGATTGCATGCAAGGTCTGCGCCTTAACCCCTACAGGAGCTGTAGCTCAAGACAGAAACTCAAGGGACTAGAGCGATAGCACAGTGGGTAGGGCATTTGCCTTGCATGTAGCCAACATGACCGACACAGTTTCGATTCCCAGCATCCCATATGGTTCCCTGAGCACCGCCAGGAGCAATTCCTGAGTGCATGAGCCAGGAGTAACCCCTGAGCATCGCTGGGTGTGACCCAAAAAGAAAAAAAAAAAAGACAGACACTTGAAATGTCTGATCAGCTAATTCAAAGACTACTGAAGGCTGACGTCTAGAAATCATCATCCTCATCATTTTGGGGGGGGGGGGGTCACACCCAGCAATGCACAGGGGTTACTTCTGGCTCATGCATTCAGGAATTACTCCTGGTTGTGCTTGGGGGACCAAATGGGATGATGGAAGTCAAACCCGGGTCGGCCAAGTGCAAGGCAAACGCCCTACCCGCTGTACTATTGCTCCAGCCCCCATCATCATTTTTAAGTGTACAGTTCAGTGGCATTGATAAACTCATGCTGTTAGGTGCATTCCTGAAACAAATGTGTATTCTGTTCCTGAAACAAATGTGTATTCTGTTCTATCAGCTACAATATACTAGTTGACTGTATTAGCCAAGATCACTATCTTCTTCTCTGCTTGTTCATTTCTGAAAAACAGGATTAAAAAAAAAAATACCTAACTTAATTATACACAATTGTTCTATTACTGTATATTAACTTCTATTATTTTTTCCTTCAATTCTGTCAATTTTTCCCTTATATACTTTAAAGGTTCGTATTCGTCATTGAAAACGGTTATAAATATTACATCATCTTGATACATATTACATCACCTTGCTGTATTGGAATTTTGCTGGTATGAAATGTCCTCTTTTGTCTCTTAATTTATTATCTCAAGTTCGGGTTGTCATGGGCTGGAGCAATAGCACAGCAGGTAGGGTGTTTGCTTTGAACGTGGTCAACCGGGGTTTGATTCCCAGCATCCCATATGGTGCCCTAACCACCGCCAGCAGTAATTACTGAGTGCAGAGCCAGGAATAATCTCTGTGCAATGCCCGTGTGTGACACAAAAAGCAAAACAACAATAACAACAACAAAAACCCAAACAACAACAACAAAAAAAAAACAAGTTCAGTTTGCCTTTATTTATTATTTTGTTTGGGGTTCAGGCCTAGTGACACTCAGGACTTACTCCTAGCTTTTTCCTAGCTCTGCACTCAGGAATTGCTCCTGGAGGGCTAGGGGACCATGAGTGGGGCCAGAGATGGCACCAGGGCTGGCTGCCTCCAAAGCAAGTAATCTACCTGCTATACTATCATTCCGGGCTCTGGTATGTCTTCATAAGTACTATATCAGCAGTCTTTTGGCTATTACTTATATAACATTTTCCTATCTCTTTACTCATTTATGTCTATTTAAGCTTAATCTCTCTTCAATAATATACTATTGGATTTTTACTTTTAAGCCATGTTTCTAATGTTTTGGAGAATTTAGAACTGAAATTACACTAAGACTAGTTCTCTCAACTGTTCAAGTACTTACCTAAACCAGTGACCCTTTAATTTCAAGTGCCAAAGTACCCATCATTTGTTATTTCTTGCAGGCTAGGAAGTGGCAGTAATAAATTCTCTGTGACAATGATCTGGGAATGTGTTTATTCCTCCCTCACTTTCCAGGGACAATTTTTCCAGAAACAGAATTTCTGGCTGGCTAGTTCTCTCTTTCCTTCGGCACTTTGAATATGTCAAGCCCATAGCCAGCTAGTCACATAAGGTTCTAATAAGAAATCTGTGAATAAGCTTACTGGGGTTTCTTGTATATGTTCTTGTACATATTCAATGTTGATTGCAACATTCTCTGTCTCTGCTTCTGTACTGATTATGTTCATCTTGGTGTAAGTCTTTTGAGTTTATCATATTTAGAGTTCACTGACCTAGCTTCCTTGATGCTGAAATTCCAATCTGTCATCGAATTTGGTAAATTTTCAGTCATGACTTCAAATAATCTCTGCTCCTTTCTCTCTGGAACTCCCACGGTCCACAATAGTCTACACTGTGTCCCATTAGTCCCTTAGACAAGATTCACTTTTTAGTCTCTTCCTGTTCTCTTCATGTAATCATTTATTTCAACTATCCTATCTTCAAAGTTGCCAAATACTTCTGCCTTACTTACACATGGTTATTTTTTATTGGGGGTGGAGTACACCGGCAGTGTTCAGAGCTTACTCCTGGCTTCAGGCTCAGGAATCACTCCTGAGCAGGATCCAAGGGAACTTAAGTGGTTCTAAAGGTTGAACCCTGGTCAGCTACATCCAAGGCAAATATTCTACCCACTGTACGGTCCCTCATGTCTATTTTGTGTGTGTGTGTGTTTTCAAATTTTACTGACGGTTTTTGGGCCACACTCAGCATTGCTCAGGGCTTACTCCTGGCTCTATACTCAGGACCATATGGGATACCAGGATCAAATCCAGGTTAGCTACATGCAAAGAAGTGCCCTAATCACTGTACTATCTCTCCAGCCATCCCCCTCATGTCTATTCTTATACACTGTCACTGTCCCTGTCCTCCCACTATTCACTGATTTGCTCAAGCGGGACCAGTAACGTCTACATTGTAAGACTTGTTGTTACTGTGTTTGGCATATTGAATACATCACGGGTAGTTTGCCAGGCTTTGCCGTGAGGGCGAGATACTCTCGGTAGCTTGCTTGGCTCTCCAAGAGGGACAAACGAATCAAACCCAGGTCAGTTGGGTCGGCCGTGTGCAAAGCAAATGCCCTACCGCTATGCTATTGCTCCAGCCCATTCTTAAACACAACTAGTGAATTTTTAATTTTGGTTACTATGTGTTTTAGTTCCAGAATTTCTTTTGGTTCCTTTTTTATATTTCTTATCTATTTATAGGTATTTCCATCTTCACACTATTTTGTAGACTCTAGATTTTTTTTCTCTAGAAGCACCTTTAACATGACCCTCCCTCCTCCCCCTCCCCTTCCCCCCCTCTCCTCCCCCCCCCCTCCTCCTCCTCCTCATGTTATTCTAGTGATTAGATTTTTGACTATTCTCTAGGTTTGGTTTCTTCTCCCTCAATGTTTGATTTTTCTTAACAAAAGTATATTTTTGTCTTCTATCCAATAAGAGAAGTGCTAAAAAATCCTTGTACATTTATTCCATGTATTATTACACATTCATTCACTCAATAAATTAAACAGTCACTGTCCCAGCACCTAAAATTAAGCACCTAAAATTAAGCAATCTATTAAGAATATGAGCTATATAAGAATAAGTCTGGAGAAAATGTTGTTCCTAGAATCTTACCAAAGGTTAGACATGAAACAGATAGTTGGTGAATAAATGAACTTATTTCGCTGTGATATCCTTTAGAATTACCATAAATACAATTTATTTCACTTTTTGCATGAATCAGAATTTTATTTATGCATTTTTTTATTCTGGGCCACACACAGTGATGCTCAGGGGTTAATCATGGCAGTGCTAAGGGGACAATATGGAGATCCAGGGATCAAATCCTGGTCATCTGCATGCAACGCAAGCACCCTACCATAGTACTATCTCTTCAGCCCCTATATTTATATTTTTGAATCATACCTGATGATGTTTATGGTTTATTCCTGCCTCTGCACTCAAGGATCACTGCAGGCAGAGCTCAGGGAACCGTATAAGGTACTGGGGACCAAATTTGGGTCATCTACAAGTAAAGGCAAGTGTCCTACTGCTGTTTTATCTCTCTGGCCCCAGTATCAGGTAGATTAAAAATACATTCTTTAATGTACAACTATTTTGTGAATCTCAATAAAGTTGTTTCAACAAAAAGATAACTTAAAAGGAATAAAATCTTTAAAAATGAAAGGCAGGGTCCAGCGATAACACAGTGGACAGGGTGTTTGCCTTGCATGTGGCTGACGTGGGTTCGGTTGCCAGACCCCATAATGCCCCCCTAACCCTGCTAGGAGTGATTCTTGAGTACAGAGGCAGGAGTAAGCCCTGAGCTCCACCAGGGTTGGCTCAGAAGCACCCAAACACCCCCAAAATTACTAAAGTGAATAGATAAAAATGAAAAAGAAAGGCAGTTTCCTGCGTCCTAGCTCCAAACAAGGATATGTGTTTGAGTATGAATGCATTCATGTCTCCCGCTCTTTACCTTACCCTAGAAACGCACCTTTACAGTGGACTGCAACGGCGCCCTCGGCATTCTCACAAATGTCCAGAAATTCTTTCACAATGTCATCAGTGGGGGCACTGCCGTCCGCAAAGAAGAGCTCGTAGTGCTCAAACCCAGCAGAGGTAAAGCGTTTGGCATCATACACCCTCTTATTCAGGCGAATTATGGTAGAAACATTGTGGTTCTTAAAGTATGGAATATAAGCCTCGGGAGAATGTTGGTAGTAACCTACAGAAAGATATTCACCAGATGCTGTAAAATGCACAAAGGCACCACCACATACAACAAATGACAACTGAACATGCAGTTGGGTAGGAAGTGTCTAGACTGGGGACTGAATGCCAATCTGATTTTAAATGCAGCAAAACAAAATGAAAATCCAAGCAAAATGATGTGATGAAATGATCAAGTGTATTTAAGTGATCAACATCTTAAACAGAGTGCTTTGAATTCTTTAAAATGAAAACACATGATGGATATGCTTCTAGTTTTTAGCATAAAACTACTGGATTTAATAGGTCATAATTAATTGTAAGTGAAAACAAAAATATTCACTAAGTTTGCCAATATTTTAAGTTTCACAATTAAGAAGCAAAACTAACTTAGCAGAATTTTTTTGTTGTTTCAACTGACATAGAGATGGAAGTCCTATAACAGAAATCAGGAAATGCCTAGGGGATAGGAGGTTAGTAGAATTTTCCTGGGGAAACTCACATGTATCTTTATGCAAATATTAATTTCAAGAATGCTACAATCAGAAGAACTAAAATTCATTCCGTATCAAAATCACTATGACAGTGGGTCTTAAACTGCAACTATTATTGTTGGAAGATGGCTAAGAATTGCTTATTATTTACCTACATGGCTAAAAGGTTGATGTTTTACCAGTGATCCATGCCTTTTGAAATGTAGAAAATCACCTTGACAAGGTATCTGTTGATTACAAGTTTTAGTAAAGCTATAGATGGACCAGTTACAAGAAATAAGAACTTTATTTTTTTTTTAATTTCTTGAAGCTAATTCAACTCAGCAACCAGGCATAATTTTTAATTGGATATACCCTGTCTATTTTTCAACATATTATTTCTGGTTCACATTTTCTTATAAGATGAATGATCCAGTGAGGGTGCTTAGTAGGCAAACTTACAAGTCTTCTTTTAGTGAGAATGATTTGCCTTCAGAAGGCTCCTACAGGATGGATACTTTTAATACCAAAAGTACTTCACATACCACTTTCGAGTTTGGTTCTCAAATGAGGTCCACAGAAGGCCACAAAACGCCCTGGTATGATCCAGTTTAAATCTCCATTTTCTGCTTTCTACAAAAAAGAAAACCAACACAATTTATGTGAGGGCTAAATCTCCTTGTACCCCTTTATCAAAAGTGAATGTCTCAAGCAAATCCACTGGCTTTAGTATAAAACTGTTATAAACAAACAGCTGGTTTATATATAAACAAACAGTCAGAAAACTAAAATTTAGCCTGCAGTGATCATTACCAAGAGATAAGTCTACGGGTTCCTTTTCTTCTGTTTTTTTTTTTTTTTTGGGGGGGGGGGGTTCCTGGATCACACCAGGCAGTGCTCAGGGAACCGTATAAGATGCCAGGATTTAAAATCAGTTTTAAAGACACGGGCAAGGCCAAGTGTTATGCACACTGTTCTATCTCTCCAGCCCTCAAATACTCTCAAAATTCTTCTGATAGTGTAGTCAGCTTTCAGAAAATAGAGCTAACTACTTCTCACCAAAATACACCTAAGTGTTTTGGTTGTTTTATTAAAATCTTATCACATACTTGCAGCTGATGAGAGAGCAAATTTTCTAAGTTGAGAAACGCTTTCCTGTTTCCCTGAATGACAAACTGGTTTTGAGTATGAACAGTCCTGACTTTCCCTCAATAAGGGGGGAAACTCCCTTGGTTTTGCCATTTCAATATTTTCATTTTATGTGTGAAGGATACTTTCCCATCACCTCACTAGCTATTGAATAAGAGGATTAAATGAAGGCTTCCCACAGGCCTCATCTCTAAATTAAAAATTACAAGTATTAAAGATCATAGTATGTCTGTAGGGAAGAAAAAAAAGAACATAGACTGAAATGTGAAAAACACCTTTACCTGTGGTTATTAAATCCCATAACAATATTATAAGATAAACTCAGATGAAATTTAACAATAGGAACAGATACACAGGCTTAGGCAAAAAAGTAGAAGAAATTTGACAGTGGAAAGGAAAAAACTGGGGCTGGAGTGATAGCACAGAGGGTAGGGCATTTGCCTTGCCACGTGGCCAACCCAGGTTCAATTCCCAGCATCCCATATGGTCCCCTGAGCACTGCCAGGAGTAATTCCTGAGTGCATGAGCCAGGAGTAACCCCTGTGCATCGCCAGGTGTGACCCAAAAAGAAAAAAAAATTTAAAAAGGCCAATAAGCTTAACCATTTGAGGATATGCATGTGCACAGAAAATTAAGATGGTGATTATTATAGGTAAAGTAATGACTGATCACAACTATTAATCCAATGCACTAATAAAACAGTTTAGTCATATATATGTTACTATCCTTAAGCTACTGTAGCATGTTACCTGAAAAATAAAGGAAAAAATTTAATAAGATAAAAATTACTTTAGAAATTACTTTTGAACAACAGCTATCTTTTCCTTTTGTATTCTCAGCACTAGTCAGGGTGAATCTTTTGAATCACTCTATTATTTAAAAAAAATCTGTTCAATAAGCATAAAAATAATATCTACATGAGTACGGTAGGATAAAAAGATGAAATTCCATAAATACTCTTGCCTGAAAAAGATCATCAACATAACATCTTACTCATGAACTCTCTGGAAGCTGGACCAGTAGAATCAAGTTATTTAATTAAAAAAAAATTTTTTTTAAAGGGAGGAGGGTTGGAACTATAGTGCAGCAGGTAGGACATCTGCTGTGCACGAGGTCAACCTGGGTTTGATCGCAGACATCCCATATGGTCCCCTGAGTACTGCCAGGAGTGGTCCCTGCATTGCCAAGTGTGGCTCAAACACAAAATCAGAGAGCTTGCCAGCAAAAATATCTCTTCTTGCTCCTCTGGAAGCGGGGCTGGAGGAGGGCCCAGGCATGGACTGGGGACATGTCTAGCTTGATAGGGCTGACCACAGTAATCCAGTTCCCGAGCTGGCCAAAGAATTCTCCAGCCTTCATCTGCTGGGAAAGCAGCGCCATTCCCACGTAAGCACAGAGGGCTGCCAAGCGAAGGGCTGTAGGCCTGCTGCTGGAGCTGGAAAGGAAGGCTGACAAGAGGCAGAAGGCCATGCTGGCCACCTTTCTTGCTCTGGGCAGAGAGTGATCCCTGTCCAGTCTCTGACGGGTGCTCAGTGCCTATGCAGTAATGTAAACTGAGGCACCAACCGTGGAAGGGAAGTGTCTAACTATTGTAGCTGGTCTGGCGTAAAGTCTCACAGAAGCTTAGGCTTTCCACTGATAGTATGTTTTCATCTGTTTTCCTGAAACCATTTGTGTTTTTTTTCTAAATCTGTGCAGTCACAAGTATCACAAACAAAAGATAATGATAAAAGCAGATGCTACTCATCTCCTCAGATGCTATGCTGAGGTATTTTTCCCAGCATGGTCTCCTTCAGCCACAGATCAATGCTAAGAGAATGTAAAGTAAAATGAAGGGGAGAGGCAAAGGGTGCACTCAAGCATCCCAGAAGGATGTATCAAATGCAGACACCACTGCTGAGAACCGAGATGGCAAAAATGGGGTAATAGGTTCAAGAGAACCATTTTTTTAACTCTGTATCAGAATCATTCAATTTTGGGGGACAACCCCAGCTCAGTGAATGTGCTTCAGGATTGTTTTTTGGTAATGCTTAGGGGACCATGAACTGCTGAAAACAGGAACCTTGTACTCCTACACACAGAGCAAATGTTCCAGCCCATAAAGCAATCTGTCTATCAGGATTGGAGAGATAATCCAGGAACTATGAAGACTGTTAGTAAGTGTCTAACTCTTCTTCAATCCCCGGCACCACAAAGGTCCGCTTAGCCCTGCCAGGAGCGATCCCTGAGCAGTCAGAAGTAGCCTCTGAAGCACTGCTGGGTGTGACCCCAATACAAAAATCTTTTTTTCCCAAATACAAGAATATTACTTCTTTGGGGACTGGAGTGATAGTACAGTGGGTAGGGCATTTGCTTCGCACATAGTCAACTCAGGTTTGATCCCGGCATCCCACGTGGGTGCAGAGCCAGGAATAATTCCTGAGCACTGCTTGGTGTGACAAAAGAACCATTAAAGAGAAAAAAAAAAAGTAGTATTACTTCTTAAGAATATGAATGAATTAAAAACATTATTCTTGAAAACTTACCTCATAGTATTCATACTCAGCAAGGTTAAAGGTGTTGAAATTAAGGAAGCCAAACAGCACTGCCTAAAATTCAGAGAAAATTTAAAAAAAAAAAAAAAGATGCAAACAAGAAGGTTGCAGTCCAACCTCCCTATAGGAAATATAATGAAGCACATCATAAAAGCATTATTATACCCAGGTTATATGTCACTGAAGACATCTCAAAGGAAATCAGCTGTGCCTTTTAATGCTCCCATCATATGGCAAAGAGTTATAACAGTATTTATTTTAATAAGACTGGAGTTTTTATGTTCCTTCATCAATGACCCACTCTGAGATAAGTAATCAAAAGTAATCAGGGTTTCAGTGTAATCCCATTAATTTATTAGATCAAGGTAATATTCAGACTCTGAATATAAAGCAGAACCAATGGTCCCAAAATGATAATAAAAAAGAGGGGGGAACATTTGTGGAATATAAAATAACATAATATGAGACTGACACCCAAGGAGATAAGAGACAAGGGCCAGGAAGATTGCTCCATGATTGGAAGTCTTCCTCATGAGTTGGGGGAGAAGGCAGCTGGAACAGAGAAGGGATCACTAAGTCAATGATGATTGGAGGGATCATTCGGGATGGAAGATGTGTGCTGAAAGTAGATAATGGACCAATCGTGATAGCCTCTCAGAATCTATGTTGCAAACCATAAAGCCCAAAAGTAGAGAGTATGGGGGAAATTGTCTGTCATAGAGGCAGGGGAAGGGTTGGGATGGGGTTATGGGGAGGAATACTGGGGACATTGGCGGTGAAAAATGTGCACTGGTAGAGGGATGGGTGTTTGATCATTATATGACTGAAACTCAAACATAAAAGCTTTGTAACTGTCTCTCATGGTGATTCAACTACAAAAAAAAAAGAGGGAAATAAACATAGGTTTGCTTTTAAAAAATGTCCATATACATTGTGTGTGTGTGTGTGTGTGTGTGTGTGTGTGTGTGTGTGTGTTTGGTGTGGGAGGTTGGGCCACATACACTGCTGCTCAGGGCCTACTCCTGGCTATGTGCTTAAGGATAACTCCTGGCAGGGATTAGGGTTCACTCCTGGGTCTGCGCTCAGGGATCACTCCTAGCAGTGCTCAAGCGACTGAATGTGGTTCTGGGGATCAAACCCAGATTGACCATGTGCAAGGCTCTACTATCTCTCCAAACCCTGCATATACACTTCTTAATTCTTCTAAATCTGAGATTTAAAATTGAGATTCTTAATAATAAAGACTACATTTCCTCAAAGACAGCTCAGAGGTGATCATTAAAATTCAAAGTTTTTTGGGGGAAAAAATTTATCACCAGGGAAGTCTATTTTCTGATTTATCCCATGCCCTGAGAGCTGCAACTGGCAGAGCATGTTAAGTAAAGGAAGCATTTTCTGAGACCAGGATGAGATAGTGGCCTCTAAGCAAAGTTTCCCCAGGTTACTGATCACTAACCAAGAACTCCTGATCAATGAGATTATTGCTTCGAAGTGGGTGATTCTGTAAGCCACTTTCAAAGAAAATCGGCCATGTTGTAAAATATTTGTTATGTGGCCAGCATAACAAACTTAACTTTCTATTTCATCAGGTGATCCTCCAATAATAATATTCAATTTTTTTCACGAATTAGAAATATTTAAATTGAAAACCTGAACCAGCTGACTCTTGTGGGGGGGGGGGGAGAGGAACAAAACCTAAATATTGTACAAAACACACAAAAGCAACCTTTGGACTAGAGTTTCAGCTACTTAAGACTTTGCACAGCCAATCAATAAAACAAACAAAAGACCAAGAACCCAAGAAAAAACAACAGAAACTACTCCAGAATGTGAAGTGGGCACTTCCAAAGTTCCTGAAGATTTCCTCTGGACACATGGTCAATATTTCTAGTGCCACCTACATTAGCAGAGCCATGGGGCCCAATGGGTAGGACTGTAACTGCAGCTGGGGGTGTCACATCTTCTATCCTTCCATCCTTCTTAATTTCATTTTGTCCATTACCTGCCTTAAATGAGGCTTGACAAAGCTGCCTTGGAGCCTTGGCAATGGCTCATCAGCTCCACAGGTCACAGTGCCACTGAATAGGAACCTCAAAGCATTATGGAGAAAAGGACAATTCATCTCTGAACTGTGCTCTCACTTTAATCGATTTCTTTCAAAAAAAAAAATTCTCAAAGAGCCTCCTTATTCCAATATACAGGGCCTTAAACTAGGGTCCCTTTTGTAAAACATGAGCAGTATCTTGAGATGATTTTTTTTTTTTTTTTGCTTTCTGGGTCACACCTGGCAATGCACAGGGGTTACTCCTGGCTCTGCACTCAGGAGTTACTCCTGGCGGTGCTCAGGGGACCATATGGGATGCTGGGAATTGAACCTGGGTCGGCCACGTGCAAGGCAAATGCCCTACCCGCTGTGCTATCTCTCCAGCCCCCGTGATTTTTAAATCCTATTTGATTCATGGGCTACTTATCTATGATTTGAGCTTCTGTGTAGCTCTGGCATTCTGGGATAAGACCTGAGGGAGCACAAAGTGTCACAGCTGGGCCACTTAACTCCAGGCACCCCAATGTGTTTGGAATGTACCAGGAAGACTGTCAGCTGGAGTCAAGAGAGCACGGTTCCGTTGACAAAACACAGTATTTTAAAATAGCTGTGAGCGAGCTGTAGTGACCTACTACTGAGTATTTTGTGAACATTCAGATTCTGCTGTTGAACTGACACTGAACGTAAAAGAAACAAAAACAAAGTGTATGACTGTATATAGATGCAAATCAGACTGATAGGAACTGAGCCCATAAACCTAATCAATCAAACAGAACCTAGGAATGAATTCTAAATTTGCACAGCTGTTTCTTTTTGTCCCTGTTGTTTGTGTGCCTTTCCCCCAATTTATGCATAAAGTCACTTGATCACTTCACATCCGGTTACTCATTGATTTGCTTGAGCGGGCACCAGTAACGTCTCCATTCGTCCCTGTCTTGTGCTCAATGGAGTCTGCTCGCTCCAGGAACACGAAAAGCCTCAAACCGATCATTCAGGATCTTGACAAAGAAGTCTGACCATCTCGTAGGTGGGCAGCCACGCGATCTTTTGACGTCCCATGGAATCCAGTTGGTAATAGCTCTAGTCCAGCAGTTGTCTCCAAATTGCATTACATGTTCAGCCCATCAGATTTTTGACAACTTGGCAAATAAGACAGCGTCCCCGATCTTCAATCGTCAACAGAGGTCAGAACTCCAGATTCTTTCTCTAACTTGAGTGAAGCGTGATACTCCAAGCATAGCTCTTTCGATTACTCTTTGGGAGACCCGAAATTCCCTCATACAGAAAGTACCAATATAAAATAAACGTTTATGGTTTGTGACATGCTAATATTAGGGAGTGGAAACAGCACAGCCATCACACATGTCTTGAGGAAGGAGAAGGGTCCCATCTTCCTGGGTATGCTCAGTTCTCCCACAGGACACTCCATCCACCGGTGAGCACTTACCTTCTTTACTGCGTGAAAACAGTCAAGAAGCGTAATGTAGAAATTGCAACTCCCATAGGCAGCATCTCTGAAGTCCCCGAAGCAGTGAAATAGTGAAACACAGAACTAGTTAATTTGATTTTCTGCAGCACATTTACCTCAATCCCAATAAATGCGCCTAGAATTTAGACTCAAAAATGCATTCGGAACCAACCTAAAAAAAATCTTGCCTTTTGGTTTTTAAATACAGGATAACTCCCTACTATAAAAGTCCCTGCCGGGAGACAGCTCACAAGGCTGGGGTGCATGTCCCAGAAGCACTGCCAGGAGTTATCCCTGAGCTGAGCTGGGAAAAGGTGACCATCAACTATGGCCCAAAACAAACAAACAAAATCAGCAAAATTTCACTGCAGTTTCTACCTACTCTAAGCAGAGAGCACTTCAGAGAATTTGATCATGAAACAACCTCTTCATAACTTTATTTTATTTTTTAAAAATTTTTATTAGTGAAACATCATGGAGGTACAGTTGTAGACTTACAAATCTTTCTGCCTGGGTTTCAGTTATACAATGATCGAGTACCCATCCCTCTACCAGTGCCCATTCTCCACCACCACTGATCCCAGTATCCCTCCCACACCCCATCCTCCCCATCCCACCCTGCCCTCTTCAAAATTTTAAATGGCTCTCTAGAGAGCATTTTTCACTGATAATTCAACTTCAAAATTTCCTCAAGTTCAAATGGTCAACAAAAGGCACCCCTTTCAGAAAAGAACAAGGAACTTAAATTTTTTTCCTTCAGGTTGGAAAATCACTATCACTGTCACTGTCCTCCCGTTGTTCATCGATTTGCTCGAGTGGGCCCAGTAACGTCTCCTTCGTGAGACTTGTTACTGTGTCTGGCATATCGAATACGTCACGGGGAGCTTGCCAGGCTCTGCCGTGCGGGCGAGATACTCTCGGTAGCTTGCCGGGCTCTCCGAGAGGGGCGGAGGAATCAAACTCGGGTCGGCCATGTTGGCTGTGTGCAAGGCAAGCGCCCTACCTGCTGTGCTATCCACATTAAATTATTGCTAGGAGAAAAAAAAAAACCTACTTTTTAGTTCTATTTGTGCAATTTGTGCATGAGCATGTGTGTGCTTCTCCACTAAAGCGTGCGCGCGTGCGCGCGCACACACACACACACACACACACACACACACACACTAAAATTAAAAAAACACAACACTGTGGCAAATCAAAGTCATACCTGAAATACTGAGTACCAGCTAAAATAGCATATGTGGGGCTGGAGCGAAAGCACAGTGGGTAGGGTGTTTGCCTTGCATACAGCCGACCCGGGTTCGATTCCCAGCATCCCATATGGTCCCCCGAGCACTGCCAGGAGTAATTCCTAAGTGCAAAGCCAAGAGTAACCCCTGTGCATCCCAGGTGTGACCCCAAAAAACAATAAATAAATAAATAAAATAGTATGTGTTTCTTTCATATTTTAATAACAATAAAAACTTAACAATATAAGTGGCTAAGTTCTTTCAGATTCTGTTTGTCCTCACATCCCCACAGAGAGGGATGAGCCTCACATTCTAGTAAGGTTCCAGGTCATTCCTGGCTGAGTCCTGAGAACCTTGAAATAACAGAGATCAAGCCCGAGGCTCCAACATGCAAAATTCCACCCCAGTTCTTTGAACCATACTAGCTATGACTTACTCTTGGCTCTGTTCTCAGTGACCACTCCTGGCAGGGCTCAGGGGGCCACATGGGATGCTGGGAATCAAACTGGGTCAGCCACATGCAAGGCAAGTGTCCTATCCACTGTACTTTTTCTCAAAAATCTCCTTGATTCTTATAATTCAATATTATCAATAAATCCCTACCTATTTTCCATAATTACCACACCATATTTGATGGGATTCAGACAGTAGGCAACAAATCATAGAGGAAAACATAAATATATATGTATATATACATATATATCCTGACAGCACGGCAGCACCTGGAAAGCTACCCTGGCCTATTCGATATGCCAAAAACAGTAACAATAACAGGTCTCATTCCCCTGACCCTGAAAGAACCTCCAATATGGAAGCGTTGGTAAAGACCAGTAAGGAGAGGCTGCTAAACTCTCAGGACTGGGACAAATGAAGAAGTTACTGGAGCCCACTCTAAATCAATGAACAACAGGATGACAGTGATACAATGATCAATAAATCTTATAATTTATCAATAAATCTTATAATTCAATATAATTAATCAATAAATCTTATAATTCAATATTATCAATAAATCCACAAGTGCTTTAGCAGAATCACTCCACACTTGGGGAAGCATTTACTTACAGAAGCTCTAAGCAGTACTGTAGCAAGACCCACTAGCAATCTTACTGTCCTCCTGTTGTTCATCTATTTGCTCGAGTGGGCCCAGTAATGTCTCCATTTTGAGACTTGTTGTTACTGTGTTTGGCATATTGAATATATCATGGGGAACTTGCCAGGCTTTGCCGTGTGGGCGAGATAATCTCAGTACCTTGCCGGGCTCTCTGAGAAGGGTGGAGGAATCGAACCCGGCTCAGCCGGGCTGGCTGCATGCAAGGCAAACATCCTACCACTGTGCTATCACTCCTTACTATGAATCATTTAATATTAGTTAAGATTGTTAATTAAGGTTAATTAATTAATCAAAAATTAAAAATTTAATTATAAAAATGGTTAGAAATGGATGAAAATGGATCTCTTGGTTGAAACCAAGTTTCTATGACAACTATCATAGAATCCCGCCTTGCTTGACTTTTTATACTGTAATATTACTTACCTTAAAAATCAAACTATACATTTAGCATTTATTTCTGCATATGCCTTAAGAATGTAAACTAATACAGCAGCAGCGAAGCAACGATGCAGAAATACATCAGCATCCTTTTCAGCTAACAGTTTTTGACATTGCTTTCTGAACTGGGTCGTTTTCCTGAGGCATATTAGACATTATTAGTCTTCCTGAGAACTGGAGCCATTCTTGTTCTGTCACTTCCAAATTTCAAAGGTGCTCTTCTAAGAGCTAAGAAAGACCTCTATCCCATCCATCAGAAAGTGATCTTACAGAAGCTTAGTGCCAACTTTCAGGAAGGAAAAAATAAAATTGCTTTCAACTTTAGAGCAGCACCAGAACTTATTAAAAATCCTAATTCTGGGGCTGGAGCAGTAGTACAGAGGGTAAGGTGTTTAACTTGCATGTAGCTGACCCAGATTCAATCCCTGACATCCTATATGGTCCCCTGAGGAATATCCCTAGGCATCAGGAGGTGTAGCCCACCCCCGAAAAAAAAAAATCCCAATTCTCAGGTTTCACCCAATTCTCAGGTCAGAGTGCTCTAGGGTGGGCCAGGTAATTTTCATTTGAATAGCTCCTAAAGACAGATTCTAAGATTATTGATGTGTGTTCAGATTTAAGAATCACTGCTCTAAGAATGCGAAGATCCTCAACAAAATATTAGCAAATAGAATCCAACAATTCATCAAAAAGATCATACACCACGACTAAGTAGGATTCATCCCGGGGGTGCAAGGATGGTTTAACATTTGTAAATCAATCAACATAATCCATGTTGATTGATTTACATCTGTTCAATATAATACTGGAAGTACCTGCAATAGCGATTAGGCAAGAAAAAAACATTAAAGGCATCCAGATAGGAAAGGAAAAAAATCAAGCTCTCACTATTCGCAGATGATATGATACAATATCTCGAGAATCCTAAATCCTCTACCAAGAAACTCCTACAAACAATCGACTTGTACAGTAAAGTCGTAGCCTATAAAATTAATGCCCAAAAATCCGTGGCCTTCTTATATGCAAATAATGAGAGAGGAAAGTTACATGAAAAACACAATCCCGTTCACAATCATTGCCCAGAAAATCAAATACCTCAGAATCAGCCTAACTAAAGAGGTAAAAACCCTCTACATTGAAAACTATATAACACTACTCCATGAAATAAAAGAGGACACGAAGAAATGGAAACATATCCCCTGCTCATGGAAAGGAAGAATTAACTTTGTCAAAATGGCAATACTTCCCAAAGCATCATACAGATTCAATGCAATCCCTATAAGGAATACCCATGAAATTCTTCAAAGAAATAGATCAAGCACTCCTGAAATTCATATGGAACAACAAATGCCCACGAATAGCTAAAGCAATTCTTGAGAAAAAGACGTGAGGAGCTATTACCCTCCCCAACCTCAAACTCTACTACAAAGTGGTAATAATTAAAACAGCATGATACTGAAACAAAGGCAGGTCCGCAGACCAATGAAACAGGGTGGAATATCTGTTCACACAACCCCAAATGTATGAACATCTAATCTTTGATAAGGGAGAAAGAAATGTAAAGTGAAGCAAGGAAAGCCTCTTTAACAAATGGTGCTGGCATAACTGGACAACCACATGCAAAAATATGGGCTTAGACCTCAACCTAAAACTATGTACAAAAGTCAGATGAAAATGGATTAAAGATCTCAACATCAGGCCAAAGTCCATAAGGTACATTGAAGACAAGGTCAGTAAAACCCTCCATGATATTGAGGCTAACGGTATCTTCAAAGACGACACTCCACTGACCAACCAAGTGGAAACAGAGATAAACAAAGGAGACTATCTTAAATTAAGAAGCTTCTGCACTTCAAAAGATATAGTGACCAGAATACAAAAACAATCTACAGAATGGCAAAAGGTATTCACCCAATACCCATTCAATAAGGGGTTGATATCAAGGATATACAGAGTACTGGTTGAACTCCACAAGAAGAAAACATCCAACCCCATCAAAAAATGGGGTGATGAAATTAACAGAAACTTCCTCAAAAAAGAAATCTGAATGGCTAAAAGGCACATGAGAAAATGCTCTACATCACTAATCATCAGGGAGATGCAGATCAAAACAACAATGAGATATCATCTCACACCACAGAGACTGGCCCAAATCCAAAAGAACAAAAGTAACCAGTGTTGACGCGCATGTGGCGAGAAAGGGACTCTCCTTCACTGCCAGTGGGAATACTGATTGGTCTAGGCCTTTTTGAAAACAGTATGGCCGACTCTCAAAAAATTAGAAATTGAGCTCCCATTTGACCCAGCAATACCACTCCTGGGAATATATCCCGGAGAGGCAAAAAAGTATAGTCAAAATGACATCTGCACTGTTCACAATAGCCAAAATCTGGAAAAAACCCAAGTGCCCGAGAACAGATGACTGGTTAAAGAAACTGGCACATCTACACAATGCAATACTATGCAGCTATTAGAAAAGAAGTCATGAAATTTACATATAAGTGGTACGACATGGCAAGTATCATGCTAAGTGAAATGAGTCAGAGACAGAGACAGACATAGAAAGACTGAATTCATCTGGGGAATATAAAGTAACAAAATAGGAGACTAACATCCAAGAATAGTTGAGATAAGTACCAGGAGGTTCACTCCATGGCTTGAAGGCCAGCCACACATGCTAGGGGAATAGGTAGCTCAGATAGAGAAGGGAACACCAAGTAAAGGGTGTTGGGAGGATCCTCCCAGGATGGGAGATGCATGCTGAAAGTAGACTATAGATGGAACATGATTGCTACTCAATGCCTCTTTTGCCAATCTCAGCACCCAAAAGGGGAGAGAGAACAAAAGGGAATGCCCTGCCATAGAGGCAGAATGTGATGGGGGGATGGGAGGGACACTGGGATCATTGGTGGTGGAAAATGGGCACTGGTGGAGGGATGAGTACTCAATCATTGTATAACTGAAACCCAAGCACAAAAACTCGTGAGTCTACAACTGTATCTTATGGTGTTTCACCAAAAAAAAAAAAAATTACTGTTCTAAAATACTCATTTTTAAGAAAACTAATTCCCCCTTTTTCTGGCGGTGGCAGGGCATTTTGGGGTCACACACCTGGTGACAATGCTCAGGGGCTGATCCTGGGCTCTACACTCAGGAATGAGGTCTGGCAGTGCATGGGGGACCACATGGGATGCCAGAAAACAAAGTTGCATCAGCCACATGTACGGAAAACACCCGACTTACTGTACTATTGCTCTGGTACCAAGGGACTCTTTCAACAAAAATTCTAAGGCAAGAAATGAACCTGCCTGGTCAAAGCCAAGGTCAATTTTTTTCAGTGGAACAGATGAATTCTCAAACAGTACCCCAGTTAAAGTTAACTATGTATTCTCAGTTAGCTACTATTAGCTTTCTAAAATGCTGATACTTCTGGTCCTGCAAGCTGAAGGCATACTAGTTCAGTCTTTATGACAAACTTGATGCTTTTATTCAAAGCTGTATTTTTTTGTAGATCAAGCCCTACCTTTGTCAACACTTCTGCTTCATATACCACATTAGTTTGAGTACACAACAAGAATCTTACTTTTTTAATTACTCTCCTACTTTAAACACACCCACATCTTCCCCTACCCAAGCAATCAAATTTCTTCAAAACAGCAGAATAGCAGCTATAAACTTTGAACCAAGTCATGGGTGGAAGGGTGGGAAGAAAGCTTGTCACTAAGATAATTTTAAAAACTTGGTAACACAGATGAGAATCAATAAAGGAGGACTGTTTAGAAACTGCAAAAACAATGCTAAATATTAATTTATGAAAACAACAGCATCTGGGGCTGGGGCTATGGCTCAAGTGGTGGCCTGTGCCTGGCCTGTGTGGGGCCCGAATTTGATCCCTTGGCACCAATGGATATGGCCCTCAGGAAGAACAACATGTATCATAACTGCTTATATTCATGATAACCAAGGACTACAAATAACTCAAGAACTTGTCAGGAGAAAAGACAAATTGTGGTATATTCATAAGCATGGAAAGCTCAAAAGCAATTACGAAAGGAAGAACTATGGATGGTTACTACACGGATAAATCTTACAAACATTATGTATTGAAAAAGCCAGATCCAAAATTACTGTACGACTACATTTACATGAAGTATAAAAACGACTAATTGATGGTTAGAGGTTGTAGTAGTGGTGTTTGAGTGGTTACTAACCAAAAAAGATAGAAAAACACATATAGGGGCAATGGCAATATGAAAAGGAAAAAAGTGTGACAATGCAATATCCTCTCAATTATTAGGAGAGGGCCTAACAGAATAGCAACATCTAATGAAACATCAGATTCTAGTCTGTCATAGGTCAATGCTTCTGTGAAAAACAACATATGTTACATACAGGGAGATTGTTTCATTACACAGTAACACGCTATTATGAATTAAAATACAAAGATCTTATTTTTAAAAATATAGAAAATGGAAGGAAACAAAACATAAGTTCATGTTCTTCTATTACTCGATTTCTCAGATATGAAAATACAAACATCTCTAGAGTCTTACTCTCAATTTCCGTGATTACTATACTTATCTCAATTTCTGGGCTTCGTATACTTATGTAACAGAAAGTCCAGAGAATGTCATTAGGTTGGAGCCCACACTCAGGGAAAAAAAAAAATGCTTTGAACAAATGAAGTAACCTGACTTTTATAACCTGACTTTTTTAAACTTTTAAAAATAATCGAATTTCACAAACCTAAACCACTTCTAATTAAATCCTGTTTTCATTTTATTACTATTACTATTAGTTTTGGGGCTCACACCCAGCAGTGCTCAGGGCTTACTCCTGACAGGGTTTAGGGGTCCATACAGGGTGCTGAGGATCAAACTCAGATCTGCTATATGCAAGGCAAATGACTTTATCCCCTATACCCTCTCCAGCCCCCGAATCCTGTCTTCAAAATCACTCTTTACTTTCCTACTCTATGCTAGAAGCAGCTAGCTTCAGTTTTCAGCACAAAAACTTCAGTCATTTCAACAGGTACAGCTCTTGATGCAGTATGAAACTAAGCTCTGCAAAACTGCTCTTACAAATTTCTTTTCATGGCATAAATCTGCGTGGTCCTTCAATTACTCAAGAAGGAGATAAGGTCAGTTAGGTCATTTTAGATTTAAGGTCAGAACCAAAAATTATATTCAGGCTATGACAACTGTGGCAGAAGAATTACTGAAATTTAACCACTGGGCAGAGATAAAGGACACTACTAAACTTCCTCCACACCCAGGCTAATCCCTAACAACACCTGGAAGGTTAGGGCACTGAGGAACTTGATTCAGTAATACCTTCACCAGAATGTCCCCCAAACTTTACACCATGTCTCCTTTTTCATAAACTATAGCAAAATATTTCTGGCCACAGTCTATTTAAATGAACTGACCACAAACATTTTTATATTTACCTGAAAGGAATATAGGGTGTATCTCCAAATATTAATATTCTATAGGCTTCTTCTGGAGTCCTCCCCAAATATATAACCTACATTTAAAAAGAGAAGACAAGGTCAATTTACTTCTAAAGAAAGACATAGTACTTGTCATTTGAAGTTCCATACCATTTCTAGCAAGTTGTACTTCTAAAAAAACAACAGTAGCCAGTGAATTTCCACCCACCACCCACCCTTTTGTTTTCAGTTTGTTTCGGGGGCCACAACCAGCAATGCTCAGGGCTTACTCCTGCCTTTGAACTCAAGGATGGCCTCTGGTGGGGCTGGAGGGGGTCAAAAGGATGGCAGGGATAGACCACGGGAAGCTGCATGCCAGGGAAATGCTGTACCCACTGTACTAGAACTTCAGCCTAGAAGTCCCATTTAAAATAATAATAATAACAATAATAATAATAAATAATAATAATAATAATGGCTTTTATGCTGCCTTACTGTTTCGCAAAATACTTCTATTTTCATCTGTGCAATAGAATTTTTTTTTTTAAAAAGCACCGGTCTGTGTTGTTTACACAGCTGTGGTTTGGAAACGCCCTCTGGGCTTTGCATGCAGGAGGCCCTGACACCATCTGATCCTGATACTGATCCCTGATCCTGATCCAGAAACCAATCCAGTAGGCACGTTCCCAGGTGCACTGGCAGAAGGAAGCTTGAGCACAGCCTGGAGTAATCTCAAACACCCCACTCTTCATTCCCAGCTTTGTTTACAGCTGCCACTGCTAAGAATAGCTCTGACACACAATCTTTCAGACCTATCACAGTCTTTTGTGTTAAGAAGCATAATATTTTTAACAGATTTTCTACATCATCATCTCCTTCCTAAATATCCCCTGGAATGACAGGAAAGAAGAGGTGTGTGGAGAGAGGGTTTCAGGTTGGAAGGGGTGAAGTGACTGAGATGAGGGGGCAAAGATGCTGACTAGCTCCATACATTTAGATTTAACCACTCACATTACACATGCTTTCCGTAAGTTTACACTTCTTTCCCAGTTCATATACATTTTGTTGTTTTTGTATCTGGGCCACACCTGGCAGTGCTCAGGACTTACTTCTGGCTCTGTGCTCAGGGATTACTCCTAGAGGGATTTAGGAAATGATATGGACTACTGGGGATCGAACCTGGGTCAACCACATGCAAGGCAAATGCCCTACCCGCTGTGCTATCTCTCTGGTCCCATCACATCATATACATCTTTTATCTTCAGAATTATGCTGCAATTGTAATCCTGTAGAGAGCCAGGTAGATTTTTTAGCACTTGATATTTCTTGCATTTCCCAAAGTTTCCTTTTTCCTGCTCTTATGTTTGCTTGACTAGGTATAGAATTGTGGCACTGCTGTTTTTTTCTCATTCAACAGTTAATATGCTGCTCCAATGTCTTCTCATTTCTAGTGTTGGAGAAGTACTTCACTTGTCTGATTTTCTCTTCTTATGAGTAACAGCTTGTGAAAGAGATTTGAAGTTGAAGAATTTCATCATCATTTTCTGAATAAATCATCTCCTATTCCCAGTGAAGATTGTGGAGACTATCTGACCTTTACACATTAAAATTTTAAAAGTAAGTAAGTAAAGTAAAGTAAGTAAAGGCCCTCCCGTTGATCATCGATTTGCTCGAGCGGGCCCAGTAACGTCTCCATTGGAGACTTTGTTGTTACTGTGTCTGGCATATCGAATACTCTCGGTAGCTTGCCGGGCTCTCCGAGAGGGGCGGAGGAATCGAACTCGGGTCGGTCATGTTGGCCGCTTGTAAGGTGAACGCCCTACCCGCTGTGCTATCGCTCCCTTCGTGTAAAATTTTAAAAATAGATTATAAATATTTTAATTTCCACTTCGCATACTTTCCTCCTTCATCAACCAAGTTGAGAGCATTCTGAAGGAGGACCCACATCCTGGTTTAACTGAACTAAGTCCTGTTCATACATTATATATAGACTCTGAATCAAAGTTAAATTCTTGGAACCTGGGGCTGAAAAGATAGTACAGTGGGTAGGGCACTTGCCTTGCATGCAGCCAACCTCAGTTCAATCAAAAAAACCCTCATAGTCCCCTGAGCCTCACCAGAATTCACCTCTGAGGTGAGAATCACAACTCAGCCCTGAGTACTGTCAGGTATGACCCCAAAACAATACAAAATTCTTAGAACCTAAATTTACCCATAATAGGAACATTTTTTAAGTAGAACTGTCCTCCCATTATTCATCAATTTTGCTCGAGCGGGCACCAGTAATGTCTCCATTGTGAGACTTGTTGTTACTGTTTTTGGAATATCGAATACGTCACGGGTATCTTGCCAGGTCTGCCATGTAAGCGAAATACTCTCGGTAGCTTGCCAGGCTCTTTGAGAGGGGCAGAGGAATCGAACTCAGGTCAGCTGCATGCAAAGCAAACATCCTACCCGCTATGCTATCGCTCCAGCCCAATAATTACAAAGTCAATATAAAATTATTTAATCACTGAATAAAAGTAATAATAAAAAAAAGCAAAGACCTACCCAGAAAGAACATTGAAATGTAGAAGCCACTCACTAAAACTCATCAAAATATTATTGATTCTAGCTTCTAAAGGGCATTTTACTTCAAAGGAAATTTTGATTAAGACTCAGAAAATTTTCTAAGTGTTTAGCCTATTTCTTAATATCATTCCATTTCATTTACTCTAAAAATACATAAATTTTAATAGCTATACAGAATCATTCTAATTCTTATCTACAACATAAAACCCACAAAAGATAGATCAATTTCATGGATAAAGAAATGATGCATTACCTAGCAAAATGCTCAATTATATCACTTCTCACTAAGTAAGCTCAAAATCATTTATAATCTTATTCAACATATCATATTAACATTTTGTAGGAATCAATGTGGCAACTGAATCACAGTGGTAGGGCGTTTGCCTTGCACGCAGCCAGCCGGAGCTAGACAGGTTCAATTTCTCTGCCCCTCTCAGAGAGCCCGGCAAGCTACTGAGAGTATCTGACCTGCACGGCAAAGCCTGGCAAGTTCCCCGTGACATATTCAATATGCCAAACACAGTAACAACAAGTCTCACAATGGAGACATTACTGGGCCCACTCAAGCAAATAGATGAGGAGGACAGTGCTACAGTGCTTGGAAAGATAGCATATACAACAACCGCATAAAAATTAGAAAAGCTTTTAAAGTGAAGACTGTTTCCCCACCTCCCAGAATTCTACTCTTCTAAAGATTTGTCCACGAAACACTGGATGATTTCACTTTTTGTGGCATTTAGAATAACTGGATGAGGGAATGTAATGGTGTGAAGGGGAAAATATTGAGCCAGAGAGTTACTACAGCAGGTAGGGCACTTACCTTGCACACAGATGACCCAGATTCAATCCCCGGAACTGAATATGGTCCCCTGAGCCCACCACTGGGTGTTGTCTCAAAGCAAAAATAAATAAATAAAGGGGGGGATGCTAGATTACCCTTGAACTCATAGTGTAGAGAAAGAAAGAAACCAAGGGGGTTGAGGAAGAAGAGACAAATGGGAAGCAAAGATCATTTATAATCTTACTATTAAGAGGGGTAGGGGTTAAGGGGACAGAGGAGTGGCAGAGCCAAATATCCAAAGCTGAGTCATCAACACTGAAATCATGGGAAATAACCAAACTAAAATGGTGCATGTCAAGATGAATTCTAGTGGAGGAGGGAGGGAACCTGGGAACACTGGTTGAGGGAAGATGATCTGGTGTAGGAATCAGTGCTGGAACACTGTATGTCCAAAGCCCAACTCTGAATATCTCTGTAATCACAGTGCTTTAGTAACACTTTTACATTCTGGCTACAGGACTGGGTTTACATGGGGCAATGGGGGGAGAGCGTGGGAACAGTCCTAGGACACTGGTGGAAGGAAGAAGGCTCTTTGGTGATGGCTGTGGTGTCAGACTGATGTATATAAGACAAGTATAATTAGCAGCATAATAAATCTCGATATTTCAATTAAAATAGTTTAAAATATTTTTTCTGATGTTCTTTTAGTCTCCAACATTTTTCTTCTCCTAAAGCTTATGGGGTAACAGTAATAAAACCTTTTCTCCATTTTGTATTAGGAATTCTTAGCCTACTCCTTAAAAATAAACAAATAAAAAAAAAGACTCACAAATAAATCTTGGAAGAGAGCAGCACGCTGCAGAGATGTGTCCTCACTCCACGCCAAGCTGACTTACTCAGGGAGCCTCAGTGTGTCCCTCCACCTGCCCCAAAAGAACTCTGGCAGCCACAAACCTCCAGAACCCAATCGTCACTATGCTCATGGCCAACCTTCACAGACTTGTCCCAAGCCCCCTACTCATGAGAATAAATCCACTGAAAAGTCCAGGTATGTGGGACTTGTGACTGAAATCTCCAGGCTCTCACTGCGTTGGGAATGGGCCCCTCTTTCCACCTCCCTGTGCTTCCAGGTTCCTGGCAGTCATGTCCAGAAACTGCCTCTGGGCACCATATAAGCACATTGACAGGCATGATCAGAGAAACAAATAAATCTCAGAAGAGCACAACACACTGCAGAGATGCCTCCAGACCCCAAAATAACAATCCAATTAAAAATTTAATTCTAGCTCTAGCACCCTAATTAAAATTTTAGAATCCCTGGAGCACATGGCCACAACATCTCATTCTGGATGCCACTGATACACCAAAAGTAGCACACCACATATGCTGGGGTGTAAAGTAGAAGGCAACCAACTTTGATCAAAATATTCATAACAAGCAATACAAAATTAATTACTTAGTATCCTTTGGGGCAGTCTTGGGTGATAGTGGGAAATTCAAAATGATGGTGGTGGAAAGGTATAATGGTGGTGGGACTGGTGTTGAAAAATTGAATGTAGTAAATCATTGTGAACTTTATGAAAATAAAAGTTTAAAAAAAAGACCTAAAAACAAAATAAGAAAAAAAAAGAGGCCCCTACGAGACCCCAAGTTGCCACCCACGAACGAGCCCTCTGGCTGCTGTTTGAGCTGCTTATTGGCCGTGATCCCAGAGACTCAGAAACAAATTTTGGAACCCAGCAG